TAAAAAATAATAAAACATTTGGCCTCCACTGGCAGAATATAACAATCAATAACATAAGAATACATGGATGTGCACAAAACAAAACATCAATTAGATTAACAAACAAATTTGAACACATTATGACAAAAGTAAAGACCTACGCTAAAAAAACGGAGATAGCAGAGTAAGATGATAGACCGAAAGGGAATGAAAGAAGAACTCCTGAAGTTTTCTCAGTACTAGCTACAATCTTTCTATTCCAATTTAGCTTCTCGTCAACAACTGTTTCCAAGTATTTATATTCTGAAAACTGTTCGATACAGTGATCATGGGTTGCCAAAGATTCATGTAATTGGGGTTGGGGTGAACGGCGGAAGTCAAAATGAATATCCTTGGTTCTGTTTACATTCAGGACCAAGTGACGACTATCGCACCAGTCAACGAACTATTTGACTTGCTCAAAATAAACCCTAGCATCGTTCAGTAGATGACAGTATCATCGGCGTATTTGATTATTGCACAGTTGGATTCTGAAATTTACATGATGGTGTTGATGGTGGTGGTGGTGGTGATGATGATTCAGATTCAAATTCAATTATTTCACATCTCTTAAAAATGCAATATATGCAACAATGGACAATCTAACAACAGCATTGTACAGAAAATAGCAAATGATACAAATGAGCATAGATGAGTACGCTGTGAAGAAGTGAATGTGAGGAAGTAGCAAAGGCCATTGACCTGGCTAGGCTCTCAACATATTAACATTCATCACTGTCAGTGTCACAAATCAAAAGTTACAATATACATGAATAGAAGACCTGACAAGCTCGTCCAAAGCTGTATTAAAATAAGAAAACATGAAATTTCCTCGTGAATAAGCATTTTGCCATAGGAAATTGCGCAATATTCTCTTTTCTCGTTCGTTCATCCACAGAAACTTTTCGGAATAAAAAACGAGAAATTTCTTTGTGAATCAGCATTTTGTCATAGAAAATTGCGCAATACTCTCTTTTCCTCGTTCGTTCATCAACAGAACATAAGCAATGTATGTGCCTTCCTGTTACGGTTTTCCGGCAATTGTTAGTATCCTTGTAGATCATAAGGTTTGACCTTTTTATATCCCCCCCCCCCCAAAAAAAAAAAAGTACTTCCCTTCATCTAAGTAATAATAATAATAAAAATAAAAATGGTGCTAATAAAACGCTTTCCACCGAAGTCTCTAAGTGCCATAACAAACAAAATACAATGACAAACAATTACATATTAGAAAAAATACAACTAGCCTACAAATTTACATATGGAATATACATCAATGTGAACATCAATGTGAACATCAAAAGCAATTTTGAATAATTGTGTATTAAGACAAGTTTTGAATTGGTTGACAGTCTGAAAGTTTTTGACATGCATGTAAAAGTTAATTTGTTCCAAAGTTCAGCAGAAGCTTTTTTCAAAAAGAGCGATGACCATAAAAAAAAAGAGTTGACACCGAAGTAGTAATGGTGATGGCGATGATGATGATGATGATGATGATGATGATGATGATGATGATGATGATGGTGAGGATGATGATGATGATGATGATCAGGCGCGTACGCAGGGGGTGGTTTTGGGGTTACACCCCCCTCAAGTTTTTTTTATGTGTATGTTTTATGTATGTTTTTTGGAAAACCCCCCTTTTGATTTTAAAACCGCCCCTTGAAAAAAAATCCTGCGTACGCCACTGATGATGATGATGATGGTGGTGGTGGTGGTGATGATGATGATGGTGATGATGTAAGTATCATCTTAGTGACCATTTCATTCATTTATGCATCAAGTACCATCACTGTTCGTGTTTTACAATAGTAATTCAACGAAATGTTTGGTTACGTATAACCGAACACTAATTCTTAGATCAGAATGTGTTCACATCTTGATACGTGAGTGATCGTTATAAGCTCGATGAATTACATATATGCGAACAAATTCGAAGATACATGACCTGGGGAAAAGAAGACAGCCATTTAACAATTTGAGATATTGTTAAGTTCTGGGGAGAGGTGGAAATAATTTGTAAGCGTTTTCATTGTTATTATGCAAGTGTGGAAGAGGATCAGAGAACAAAAATCTTCTCTGAAAAGCATTGCTCTTAAAATGCCTTCATATTCTAAATATGACATGTAATAGCTTTAAAATGTGGGCCTCATTTATATGCCACATGTTTGTGTAGTCACATATCTTTCTGTGTAATTTCTTATCATTTTGATGATTCCAGAACCTTGCAGTACACATCAATACTTATATAATATATGCTACATGATCAACTTGTTCTGATTGATTTCACATCGATTCTTTCACACTAATGAATCGCATGGCATAAAATCAACTTTATCTTTAAGTAACAAGCCTGGTTGAAGAAGATTGAGAAACTGAAAAAGATGATGATGATAACAAAAGGAAGAAATGGAGAAGAATTTGCAATACATGGGTACATGTACATGTGGAACTAATAAGGAAGATAAAGAAGAAACGTTATTAAGAAGAAAAACATTAGTAAAAATTAAGAGAAATAATATCAATAATAATAATATCGATACACAATCAATCTCTAATTACCAAACTGGATATCCGCTCCTTGTTCAGTCCTTTTGATAACCGATATATGTGACAGTGAATGTAAGAAGTGAGAGTGTTTTAATGTACCAGATTTTGAAGCGACGTCTCAGTTGGGATTCCCCGCTAAACACCGTTCTGTGAAAGACACTGCACTCAACACGCTATATACAACATGTTATATATATATATATATATATATATATATATATATATATATTTTATTTTTTATTTTATTTATTTATTTATTTATTTTTTTTTTGGGGGGGGGTTGTATTTTTGAAGGGTAGTAAACGTGCTGTTAGTCATTTAAATCTTTCAACCTTTCAACATTCCAAACATTCCAAACCTTCCCAACCTTTCAAACCTTTCAAACCTTTCAAACCTTTCAACCTTTCAAACCTTCCAACCTTCCAACCTTTCAAACCTTTCAACCTTTCAAACCTTTCAACCTTCCAACCTTTCAAATCTTTAAACCTTTCCACCTTTCAACCTATCAAACCTTTCAAATCTTTTAACTTTTCAAACCTTTCAAACTATTAAACATTGTCACAAATTGTGTGATTGGAAGACGAAGGAATTAATGCAAATGTTCAGAAATAAATTTGTATACTGAACTTGTATACTGAAGAAAATGAGGCTTGTTTTTTTTTAAGTTAGGTCTTTATCTGATCCAAGGGGAATTGTTTAAGTTTAACCCTAAAGAGGCCTGATTATTTTGGTACTCTTTCAGCCAAGAAGGGGGGATCTCGGCCATGGAGTGACGAGCAATTTTTGACCTTGGTATATTGATAGAGTATCTCATAAAGAATAAGTCCACGAAGTTTCATATCTATGTCTTAAATGGTTTGTGAATGATTACTAATTAACTATTCACATATCTGAGAGGTGACAATTCTGCATTGTGTACAGTAACACGCGTTTTTATGGGATGTCCACGAACTTAGACTTATGACGGTTTCGAGAAACTGGCCCCAGAAAGCCAGAATACAGAGTTGGACAAAGAGATAGTGCAGAAAACTCAGACACGAAAACACATGGCAGAGACAAGAAAAAAAGTTACCGTCATCATTGTCACCGTCATCATCGTCACCATCTTCAACATCATCATCTTCAACATCATCATCTTCATTATCATCGACATCATCTACATCAGCATTAATGTTATCATCATCATTAACATCATCAATAATCAAACATGAAAATTGTGATAAAATTCAAATTATTGCTCTTTAATTACAATACAAAATCTGTAATTGTGCAAATTTACATGGTGTAGGGAATATGTACAGAACGTTAATAAATATAATTTCTCTTGTTTAATATGTCAAACTAAATTGCAAAGGGAAACTTTTTAAATGATAGCTGAACTGAACTAAATAACATGATAAATTTAAAGGGATAGTTGAGTTCTGTTTTCAGACCGCAAATGTCTTCAAAGTGCATGATTATTGCTCTTATTCTTATCTATGACATTTATAGTGCCCTTTTAGAACCTAAAATTGCTATGAAGGTAAATTTAGACCCCAAAATGTGTCAAATTAAGCCAATACGATCATACCAATTCAGCTCCACTTCAGCTCAAAAAAAAACATGGTGACCGTTAATTAATTATTTAATTAAAAATAACAATACATGAGCCGGCTAATTGTGGGTAATATAAGAAACACGAAAATGCAAACAAAAAAGCCAACATCAGCATTGGCTGAAATACGACGTAAAAGGCGTTATTTCAATTTTTTTCAACAGTCTTTTCAAATTTGTCAAAATATCTAATATTTGTGGTGGTATTAGAAATCGTTATATTTCAGCCCTCTCTGAACCAATTTTGATCAAACAAAGATGATTTTGTCATTTAAATATTATGTTCTTTCAAATTTGACACTCAATTTTTCATTATCTTACAAAAAATATATTGTGTAGAGCCCTCTGCAACAGAACTCAACTATCCCTTTAAGTCAAATCTTACCTGAATAAAGCAACAACCTATAATTTAAATGATAATAATAATAATAATATTGAGTATAGCGCTCATATCTGTCAGACTTGACACACCTGGTGCTCCACATTATTACCCTGGCTTACGCATGGCTGCCATTATGGCGCTCTAGCATTTCAAGGAAATAATTCCTGCCAGGAACCCTCTAACATCACCTGGGTCAAGTGTGGCAAATGTAGATTAATGTCTTGCCACAGGAAATTATTGTGTGGTGGGACTTGAACCGCAGATGTTGTGATCCACAGTCGGTTGACATGACCTCGACACCTCTATAATGCATTACTTCCATTAAAAAAAAAATGTAGATGAATATGCTGTTAATAGGTTTCCCATGTTTACTTTATCAAAAATGTTTACTTTATTAAAACAACAATACAAAAATACAAGCACGTAGTGCGGACGTAGTGTAGATATGTCAGTTTTCTTTTGTCGTTAAAGATGTAATAGCCTTTTGACCTTTGACCCTATCTTCACCAAGGCTGCCAAATCATACACAAGAATTTTTAATGTTGTACATAGTCTGGATCAAGAAAGTATTTGTCTTCTCTGTTTTGACACAAACATTGATGTTGTGTTGAGTTTCTTCCCATGGAAGATTTTCTATGCCAAATTATGCAATGACACAAGACATTTGTATATGGATAATATAACATCAGTGACCCTTATCGCGTGTAATGAGAAATGGGTCACTGAAAGAAATTAGTTTACATATATATATATATTTATAGGTTTTATTGAAATCAATTCAAATCACATCAAAAACCTAGAACAAACAGTCCAAAGACTGACATCTGTCTTGGGTACAATATAAAATTTGAATCAAGTATACATGATAAAATAGCAGTGACGAATACATAAATAAGTTACATCACAATAATATAACATCAGTGACCACTTTCTCATTGAAAGAGATAGGCGGACTAGCGCGTGCTGGATCACCCTATTCCTACGTAATGAGAAAAGGGTCACTGAAAGAAATTCATATACAATATAACATCAGTAACCCCATTCTCATTACAAGAGATAGTCAATCTAGCGCATGCTGGATCACCCTATTCCTACGTAATGAGATAAGGGTCACTGAAAGAAATTCATATACAATATAACATCAGTAACCCCATTCTCATTACAAGAGATAGGCGATCTAGCGCATGCTGGATCACGATATCTCTCATAATGAGAAAGAGGTCACTGAAAGATATTCATATACAATATAACATCAGTGACCCCATTCTCATTACAAGAGATAGGCAATCTAGCACATGCTGGACCAACCTATATCTTGTAATGAGAAAGAGGTCACTGAAAGATATTCATATACAATATAACATCAGTAACCCCATTCTCATTACAAGAGATAGGCAATCTAGCACATGCTGGACCAACCTATATCTTGTAATGAGAAAGAAGTCACTGAAAGAAATCACTGAAAGAAAATCATGTACAATATAGCATCAGTGACCCCATTCTCTTTATATATTTCTCATTACCGTATATATATTGTTGTTTCTTGGTATATTACAAGAGATGAGAACACGGCAAGGATAATTTGGTCTGCCCGACGGAGAACCACAGCGATCCAAAACGTAGGATCTCTACTAAATTGCAGGCAAAAATATTGGGAGCAGTAAGATTCCGGGGGGGGGGGTGTTCCCCAAAGACTACGATTGGCTTAAGTTGGACTTGAACTTTAGCAGATCATTCATGCCACAGGTTGCTCTCACCATTGGTTTCTCAAGGGACATCACAAATCTACAGAATTTATATTGTTGATAGTTCATTGTTTCAATGGGATGTCCAAGAACTTGTACTTTTTTATATGCTACCCAGGATCATTAGATGAGCTGGGACCCACAATTTTTTTCAATGAAAAATGACAAAAATCATTGACAAATCTGCTGATTTGTCACTGATGACAAGTTTTGTGAAATGAGGCTCTGATAATGGGAAGAAATCGACAGTAGAACTGCTGATTCAGCTGAGTATGGTGTGTCTATCGAAGATATTCTCCCTCTGTTGTTGAACCTGTGATCTCCATCTTCTCTGTGCGCTACCCACACGACCTAGGTAGGATGATGGCTGCCCTGTGCTCAATGAATCCTGGGTTTAAGAGAATGGGTGACATAAAAACAACAATTACCTCAAGTTGTTCATCTTGTATTGTGAAATTCTTTATAAGGTTTTTACGGTCCTTCTTCCTTGCTTATAGTGATGGACATTACTAACAGCCTTTTCACACATGGGTAAAATTCTTTAAAGCTGATTAGTTTAAAGAGCTTTAAACTAATCAGCTTTACATATGACATCATTCACACACAGAAATGTGATTAACTGCTCTTAAAATGCGCAGTAGTGCCATTGCGCATTGAAGGTCAGGTCATATTAAACAAAGCACACGCTCAAAAAGTTTAAACACGTATAGCCGTTCACACACAAAATGTCTAGCTCTCTAGATACAGACTTCGTATCTGCAGCCTGCTTTGAACGGCGTATGAATCGCGACTTTGTATCTATCCGAACATCGTATAAACGACGTTCACACAGGGAAAATTTTCTTTAAAGCTGTTAAAAACTGTAGAGCTAACAGCTTTAAACTAATCAGCTCTAGATACGATGAATTTTAGCTGTGTGTGAAAAGGCTGATGGTACAGTCAGACCTGGGGGTGTTTCACAAAGATCCTAAGTCGAACTTAACTCTTAGTTGGACTTAAAGTAGATATTCATTGATTTTAAAAACTAACTTTATTTTCATTATTGCAAAGTTGAAACTTTGATTCGACAAGGTTATCAAAATTCAATGCTTGGAAACATGCGAAGTAACGATTATTATAAATTATAAAACGCTTAAATACAGCCCCGGCATAGCACCTGAAGAGCTCTCCGAACGATGTGAGATGTGTGACATCACAGTATGGACATGATTTGCACAAGCAGACAATGTCCCATGACATCTTTATACACATTTTCAGTGCCTCTATTTTCATCTTCTCTTGAGTTCTTTCTCTTACTTCACTACCATCAGGCTAAATGTATAATCTATTGCCTCACTCTAAACCCGCGCATGTTTTTATTTTGAAGACAAATGCAGGGATACATAAATAAAGAAATCTGTCGCTTGTAAACAAAATAAGATGCCATTTTTACTATATTCAGCTGCACACACCGCGGTATGTTCTGCATTTCAAGAGGGAACAAATGCCGTCCTTAATATCATTCCGGGTGTTTTTCAATTTGAAAGTCTGGTTTCTTTGATTGTTAATTAACCCCTATCCTGTGTATTTACAAACAAAAGATTGTAGTTATCAGAATCGGGTTTCATATCCCCTTTTGAATGGTTTGAAATGCCACCACATTTATATACACTAAACTCATTATAATTTGACAAATAATAGCTTTGCAATTATGTTCATTCGTTATGGGATGTCGTCTGCTTGGGCAGTATTGGTCCATATTGTGACGTCGTTTAAACATCGTTATTTATCAGGCGAATCTCTTGTATATCCCAGCTGCAATGGAAGTGGTTGTATTTCTATCTTTATAAATCACCCGATATGTAGTTGATTCAAAACTTGTACGATGGCCATCTGTTAGCTTACCAATTTCGAGTGATACATTAGTTGACATACTGTATTTGTGATTTTCTTTGAATTTCCACTTTAAAATAAAATATATTCAAAAGCAAAAATTCAAGTATTTTAGCTTTTTTATAAATTCCACTACAAGAAGTAGAACATGAAATCTCCTTGATAATGGAAAATATGAATGATTTGAATCAACATTTTATGCCTTTTAAAATAACTTTTACAAAATATTTTCAGAGATGCTAACGGCTTTCCATAGTTGTTAAGTCCAACTTAGAGATAAGTTCAACTTAGGATCTTTGTGAAACACCTCCCAACTGAACCAAGGAAAATAAAAGGAAGGAGACTACAAAGTAAGAAATCTTTCCAATAATTTATAAAAATTCAACTTGAAATGACAATATAAATGATCTTACTAGTTGAGGGGTGAGCGTGTCTTCCATCTGGGGTTCGGTGAGTTTGGATCGAAACATCTCTGGATCCATGAAGAAGAGAATGATCAGGTAGAGGAAGAGGCAGATGACCACGACGATGATCAGGAAAATTACAACCTACCAGAAAGAAAAATTGAATTCTGAGCTGTAAACTACAGGGGTGATAGTGAGGACTAAAACAAAACAAAACAACAACAAAAAATTGGGGGAAAAAATAATCAGGAAATCGATTCAAATCAGGTAATTATCAGGCCTGAAACTCGAGCAAGTTACATTATGAATGATTGTTGTGTTTCGCTTTCAGTTAGTGGTGGTGAGCAACTTGTTTGGTTTTTTTAACTAAAAAAGGATCCCTTTTCCAAGAAAATGGTGATTAGTGATATATGGGATAGTCAAATCTCAATCATGACAATAATAATAATAATAAAAAGATATTTGTATACCGCCAGTTGCAAATTGCCTCTGAGCGGTTTAAAAGAAAATAGCTGATAAGTAAAGGAAACAGAAATTGCATTACAAATTATATCAATTTAAATTACCATTAAAACTTTGCAAATGAAAATAATACATGTACATACATGTAATTACAAATCACTTACAACCAAAATACAAATAGTTCATAAATTAATAGTATCCTAAAAAAAATATTTAAAAGGCAAAAGGTCAAAAGAGCTATTCAGGACAATAACAATAACTGCATACATCATGTAACAATAATGGTGGCAATAAATTGTCAATCAAGTATGAAGGATCACGCTGCTCACATCATTTCTTACAGAGTAATGTCACATCAAAGTTGTATAACTACTGGCTCTCAGAAAATATCTTTGAGCTCTGCCCCAAGAAAATCGGTGGCTGAGGGATTCCAAGGAGACAATAAAAATCGGTGAGGCAGTCTCGGTAGTACTTATGTAGAGGTCTAACCTACAAAACTGATTTGTATTGACTTTTATAACAATAATCTGGATTTATATAGCGCTTAATAGGGAATACCGTCTCTAAGCGCTTTACAGATATCATTACCCGTCATCAGAATCATTCACGCATAATGTGCACCATCTCCACTCCCTGGGGAGTATTTGTACGATATGGTCACTATGAGATCATAGGCAATTACTAACACAAAGACTTTCGTCATCCTGCTAGGTCCCCGTTTATCTCTCGGGTATTGAGTGGCAAATGTAGATTAATGCCTTGCCAAAGGACATTACTGCCATGTCGGGGATCGAACTACGACCTTTGAATATCAAGTGAAGTGCTTAAACCACTCAACTATGACACTTCTCTATAACACATAACCATACCTGTCAACCTTTCACAACAAAAGGGAGGAATCTCTCAAGGTGCAACTAGGAATAACATCTAATCTCATATCCTTTTAACATTGACGTTTTCGAAGAAAAAAAGAGAGGAATCTAGGGTATGGACTATGGAGCCCTAAATGTACGAATTCTTCCTCGGATTTACCTCTACACGAGGAATGGTCAGTTGCCCGCTATGCATAACCAAGAGGCTGCAATCTATAATTGGAGTTATAGTTATTGTTATGGTCTTAGGTAGGCAGAAAGCTTCAGTCTCAGATATTGACAGTTATTCCACTGAGACTACGTCTGTCTCCACTGACCCCCTCTATGAGAAGTTTGACAAGTGTCAGTTTTATCAAAGGATTCCCTATAACAGACGGTTATTTCTGTCAACCCTTTAGAGTGTTTGTTTTTGTTCATACCTTGATGGTGGTGATGTTTCGACTCTCATATTTGCATTCACATCGAAGACAGTCACTCTCATTCCTTTTCATCACCAACTCACAGGAACTGAAAGAAAAAGGAGGGAGTGAAAAAAACAAATTAAATAGTAAAAAGAGAGTACCGCAATATGCAAATGTTCTAATAAAACAAGCTTTTGCATATACTCTCTCCCCCCCCCCCCCAAAAAAAAAAAACCTAAAGACATCCACTTCACTAGTGGCTAATTGACACTATGAACATGACTGACAAAGAAAGCAGACAAAATATACAGTTCCTCAGTTAGACAAAGGAACATCCCTTCACTGCTATTATGTAAAAAGGTGAATATGCATGTGACACCTGTTCTACACATTTTTACATAATAGCAGGGAAGGGATGTTCCTTTATCTACCTGAGGAACTGTATATTTTGTCCGCTTTCTTTGTCAGTCATGTTCATAGTTTGAGGTGTGGCCAATCAGTAATCAGAATCCATTCAATTTGATTTGGAAGAACAATTCATGTTAATAGACCTTACTCCAAAGAGTGGATCATATAATTCACTCGATGTTCTGTGAGCTTGAAGTTAAGATTGCGGGTATTAACTTATCTTAAGTTATCATGAAGTTGGGGACTGTGAAGACACACTCGTTCTTACAAAATTAAAAGTTAACTTGAAGTTACAAATCGACCTTAAAAATTATTTACTAGGCGTTCTACAGTTGAATGGTTAACGAGTACAAAGAAAATGAAGGATATCATACAGCCCTTGGCTCAGAACCCAAGTCCATGCGGGCCCTATACTCAGCTGTCTGGTTTTGGTTTAGCCACGGCATTTTGTCAGTCTTTGACAAAACATGCGAGCCACCACTTTTTTTTGTAGGCATGCATTTTTGCTTCCATTGTCATTATAATCCAATTCGATCATCCGATCCGATCATGGCTCTAACTTACTTAATTAGGTAGAAAGTAAGTTTCCATGTTCAGAAGACCATTTTGGCTGACACTAGACTTGGTGGAAATACCATTAATCGGTGTCAAAGTCTGCATACAGAAAACCTGTAGGCCTATCAAGAAATACCCCCTCGTCTCTTGGAGGGTCTTCATGTGAGGGAAAAGTAAGGTAATGACATATAGGGGAATGGATGGAAAATGCAAAGTATTACATAAGGACTGTTGGTCTTTAAACTGAAGGCTTATTCTGGTCATTGACAACACCTGTTATTTGCAGGGATGCCAGTAAGAATTGATCAGAGGGCCTGAAAATCAGTTAGAATGAGCTATTTTGTACACAAAAAAGCATAAACCATGGCCTGAAAACTGGCATCCCTGTATTTGGTAAACGCCTGAACTATGGCGAATTCCCCATGAGAGCCCACTCCTATGCATCTCTACAACTTACCATTCTTCAGCGACAGATACAGTCACAACCTGGATGTCTACATCCCTTTTTATATCAGGTTCAGCGGGACAGATGCACTTGCAACGTACATTGTCAAATTGGCCCTGTGAAATAACAGATATTGTTAATTTACTTTAATTATTATAATAATAATAATAATAATAGACATAGATCTATTTATAATAATAACAATAATATCAAAATCAAAATTAAATCGGCCTGATTCTGGACTTAACCAGTAGACCTAGGCCTATTTCGCAATGATTATGGACAATTTATGACCTGGGTAGTCATTCGTTTACAGCAAGCTACCCAATTTTCACGCAATGTCATTCATTTTAAGTAAACATAACTTTGCACTTTTAATTTTTGTATGAAATCTCGGTAGTGTGTATTATTCGGTAAATACTAAATTATTGCATCGGATTCTGTGTGCATGCGTATCATGAATATTTAAGAATAGCGCATGACGTATGGTTCCTATTGAGCCAATCAAATGCAGCAATAGGATGGATAGGTTAGGTTAAAAAAGACACTCCCAGCCCACTCCCCTTACATGTTTCCGAAGACGAAGTAGAGGACAGGCCGCATCCTAGCCTTTAGGTATTCCAGAGAGCATTATACGGCTCCCATAGCAGCCCACGGAGAGGCATGTAAACAACACCTAAAATGAGGCCCAAATCACACTTTCCCCCACCCAACCAATATTGGGCAGTGGCCTTGATGAATTTTGTTGGACTTTTACTCCTAATTAGCTCCTGAATTTCAAAATCGGAGGTAAAAATAACAAAATAATAGCAAATTTCTTACCAGTTGAGATCGCACGTCATGGCGATCTCAACTGCACACTAGAACACTAACATTTAGCATCCCACATCACAACCATCAGAACATCCCAGTATCGCACTGCATGTATTTCATCTATAAACAGCACATTCAACGGAAACAGCTGTAACATAAGTCAGAGGTCATTCGCACGGTACATGTGGACTTCTACCCAAGCTCTTTCGTTCTGGTAAGAAATTTGCTATTATTTCGTTATTTTAACGTCCGATTTTGAAATTCAGGAGCTAAATAGGAGTAAAAGTCCCACAAAATTCATCAAGGCCACTGTCCTATATTGATCGGGTGGGGGAAAGTGTGATTTGGGACACATTTTAGGTGTTGTTTACATGCCTCTCTGTGGGCTCCTATGGGCTCTCTGGAATACAATATCATAAAAAACATTTCCAGAGAGCCCTTAAAGGGATAGTTGAGTTCTGTTGCATAGGGCGCTAGACCTACACAAAATATTTTTTTTGTGAGATAATGAAAAACTGAGTGTCAAATTTGAAAGAACATAATATTTAAATGGCAAAATCATCTTTGTTTGATCAAAATCGGTTCAGAGACGGCTGAAATATAACGATTTCTAATACTTGTGTACCACCACCATCACAAATATTAGATATTTTGAAAAATTTGAAAAAACCGTTGAAAAAAAAACGAAATAGAGGGTCTAGTCTAGACTAACGCCTTTTACGTCGTATTTCAGCCACTGTCGATGTTGGCTTTTTTGTTTGCATTTTCGTGTTGCTTATATTGCCCACAATTAGCCGGCTCATGTATTGTTATTTTTTAATTAAATAATTAATTAACGAATAATGGTCACCATTTTTTTTTTTTTAATTGGCATGATCGTAGATCTATTGGCTAAATTTCACACATTTTGGGGTCTAAACTTACCTTCATAGCAATTTCAGGTTCTAAAAGGGCACTAGAAATGTCCTAGATAAGAATAAGAGCAATAACCATGCACTTTGAACTTTTGAAGGCATTTGCGGTCTAAAAACAGAACTCAACTAGAATCTATCCCTCAGCTATCCAATGCAATACTTCCTGTACTGACGTCAAAATAAATATATGGGACAAATATTAAATTTAAATGTCATTCTTCACTCTCTCCTGATAATTTCTACTCACCTCACATGTTATTACAAACAAAAGCAGAACGACGAAACCAGAGAAAATAGCGTTTGACATCTCTGAAATAATGGTAAAATTTCTGTGAATTCGGTGGATTTTTAAAGCGACAAAAAATTCCGTTTCGGTTTTCCTTCGGCTTGTCCTTGAATTGAAACTTGCGACCATTAAACCAAGGACCAATAAAGAGGAGGGTAGCCACCAATAATGAAGGATATAGTGTCTCCGAACCAAACAATAGAAAAGGAAAAGGATAATTTTGCACGTCTCGGCTGACGGTAACGTCAACAGAAGTAAGAGATTAGATTTGGATGTTTTTAATACTATCTTTTGACATTTGTAATAAATAATGACCTAGGTCTAGGCCTACATCATCTTGAAGCTGAAAAGTTGCTCCTTACTCTCATATAAGTACGCGACAACCAGATGCTGATGAGTGTACGTCACGGACTATTTTTCGTTTCTGTTCTCATTCATTTTCTTGGCACCGCAATTGCGGGGTTAGCAGGAGTTAGCACCACAATTGCGGGGTTAGCCCTGCTATTTTGTAGGGTTAGTTAACCCCGTATTATAGGTGGGGCTAGCCCACTCTGGTAAATACGAGTCTGAACAGAAAGTGGAATAGGCTTAACCCCGGACTATAGGTTGGGCTAAGACCCCCCCCCCCCCCCCCCCCCCCCCACTTAACCCCACCTATAGTACGGGTTAAGCAAAATATTGCCAGTGCGAAAACAGTATGATGTTATATTATATTTCAGTGACCTCTTTCTCATTACAAAAGATAGGGTAATCCAGCATGCGCTAACTCGCCTATCTCTTGTAATGTGAAAGTGGTCACTGATGTTATATTATATGTATATTAAAGTCTTGTGTCATTGCATAATTTGGCATAGAAAATCTTTCATTGGAAGAAACTCCACAAAATCCATATTTATGTCAAGAAGAAAGACAAATAATTGAATAGCCCTAATAATGTACAACATTTAAATGCTTGTTTAAAGATAAAGGTGAGTTCTGGTTAAAAAAAAAAAAAAATCTCACAGATTCAAACGAAACTTACACGGAATGTTCAAAATTGCAAATAAATGTAATTTGCCAACAATTGAAATTTTCCCAGGATGCATTACATTTATTAAAAAAAATAAAATTCTTGTTTTTGATTTGCTAGCCTCGGTGGAGATAGGGTCAAAGGTTATTACATCATGATATCAAGTATTAACAACGAAAGAAAACTGTCTTATCTACACACGCATACATGCTTGTATTTTTCTGTTGCTATTGCTATTGTTTTTAATAAGTAAATGCGCAAAATCTATTTACAGCATATTCATCTGAAATGATTTATCTCTATTCTGTTAAAAGTTTTGAACTACATTTATTTTTTAGTCAAATTATTGCATTATCATTTATATTATATGTTCTTGCTTTATTCAGGTAAGATTTGACGTAAAATATAACATGTTTTGTTTCCAACTTTAGCTATGATTTAAAAAGCATCCCTTTGTAATTTAGTTTGACATACTAAACAAGAGAAGTGTATATTTATTATTGTTCTGTACATATTCCCTACACGTACATGTAAATGTGCACAATGACAGATTTTTAATTATAATTAAAGAGCAATAATATGAATGTTATCACAATTTTCATATTTTTTTAATGATGATGCTAATGATAATGATGTTGATGATAACATTGATGCTGGTGACCATGATAATGCAAATGATGATGATGATGATACTGATGAAGATGATGTTGATGATAATGAAGATGATGATGATGGTGATGAAAATGATGTTGATTGTGATAGTGATGATAATGAAGATGAAGATGATGTTGATTATAATGAAGATGATGATGTTGAAGATGGTGGTGATGATGATGATGATGATAATGAAGATAATGATGTTGAAGATGGTGATGGAAATGATGTTGATTGTGATAGTGATGATGATGAAGATGATGTTGATTATAATGAAGATGATGATGATGTTGAAGATGTTGACGATAATGACAATTATGTTAATGATAATGACGATGATAATGGAGATGAGGATGATAATAATGAAGATGGTGATAATGATGATGAAAGCAATGAAACAATGACAACAACAATAACATATCTTTCTATCTTGTCTCTGCGATGTGTTTCCGTGTCTGAGTTGTCTGCACTATCTCTTTGTCCAACTCTGTATTCTGGCTTTCTGGGGCCAGTTTCTCGAAACCGTCTAAGTTTGTGGACATCCCATATATACCAAGGTTAAGAATTGTTCGTCACTCCATGGCCGAGATCCCCCCCCCCCCCCTCTCTTGGCTGAGAGAATACCAAAATAACCAGGCCTCTTTAGGGTTAAACTTTAACAATTCCCCTTGGATCAGATAAAGACCTAACATTTTAAAAAACAAGCCTCATTTTCTTCAGTATACAAGTTCAGTATACACATTTATGTCTGAACATTTGCATCAATTCTTTCGTCTTCCAATCACTCAATTTGTGACAATGCTTAATGGATTGAAAGGTTGAAAGGTTGGAAGGTCGAAAGGTTGAAAGGTTTGAAAGGTTGGAAGGTTGAAAGCTTGGAAAGGTTGAAAGGTTGAAAGGTTTGAAAGGTTGAAGGTTTGAAAGGTCTGCCGAGAGGTAGGAATGTTGAAAGGTTGAAAAGGTTTGAAAGGTTGAAACTTGAAAGGTTTTAAAGGTTTGAAAGGTTGGAATGTTGAAAGGTTGAAGGTTGAAATGACTAACAGCACGTTTACTACACTACAACAAAAACTCCCCCCCCCCCCAAAAAAAAAATATATATATATATATGTAACATATTGCACTGGCGTACCGGTGGTGGGGAGGGGGGCTTGGGGGTGTGCGCCAGCCCCCCCCCCCTAAATACAATTGAACCGGCCATGACTTATTTTCACAAGTAATGTATAAATGTTCGTGATATCACATGCTTTTTAACAAAATGCTAGTTTCTCCATTATTTCTTGCAAACTGACCCATTCCCAAATAGCCAGGAAGAGCATATGTTTTGTTATAGTCACTAAGGGCCTTTTAGTGGCCACTAACAATAACACTAATTCCTTTCCAGAAGCTACAGAGCAAAGCAGTGCCGGGAGAGTCGGGAGATAACATGCTACCCACACCACTCGGGCTGATGAGCATGCACAGATTTGCGAACGAGCGTTCCACTTACATCATGTAACACTGCACATATACCGTTAAGGAGCCCAGTGGGGGGAATTGAATTCAGACAAGATTAAGAGTAGAGAACGGTACAACGAATCGTCTTCTTTCTCTAATAATTTAATGAAATGGCAAAGCTTCCGCGCTTCCGCGCGGGTGGGGGGGGGGGGGGGGGGGGGGGGGACTGAATTCAAACAAGAATTAAGAGTCGAGACCGGTACAACAAATCGTCTTCTTTCTCTAATAATTTAATGAAATGGCAAAGCTTCCGCGCTTCGCGCGGGGTGGGGGGGGGGGGGGGGGGCGGGAAACTAATTTCAAGACTAGGATTAAGAGTCGAGAACGGTACAACGAATCGTCTTAATCTTTCTCTAATAATAAATGAAACGCGAAAATGATTTCAGACAAGGATTAAGAGTAAAAATTAAATGAAACGACAAAGCTTCCGCACTTCGCGTGGGAGGAGGGGGGGGAACTGAATTAAGACAAAGACACAATAAAACGATTTGTCTTCTTTCTCTAATATTTAATGTAACTTGAAAGCTTCCGCGTTTTCGCGCTGGATGGACGAAATTGAATTCAGACTAGATTAATAGTAATAATTATTGAAACGTCAAAGCTTCCGCGCTTTGCGCGAAAGGGGGGGGGGACGGAATTCAGACAAGGATTAAGAGTCGAGAAACGGTTCAACAGTACAATGAATCGTCCCTCCCCCCCCCCCCCCCACTCCGAGAACCAGGGGCGTAAATCCGTACCGAGGAGTGGGGGATGATCGGCACTAATTTAAGCAAGCAAGCGCGGTCGCGCACGCACAAACACACAACACACACACACACACACACACGCACGCACGCACACACACAAACGCACACACACACACACACACACACACACGCACACACGCAAACGAACAACCAACAAACACACACATACCCAAACACATGTACATAAATTTATACATGCATACATACACAGATCCAGGATTTCTTAGGGGGGGCCCCAAATTTGAAATTATGCGAGCCAAATATTGGTACGTAATGGTGACCACCATTGGCGTGATGGGGGGGGGGGGCAGGGAGGGGCGATTTCCCCCTCCCTCCTCCGCAAAGCGCCGAAGCTTTGAAGTTTCATTAAATCATTAGAGAAAGAAGACGATTCGTTGTACCGTTCTCGAAAATAATCCTCGTCTGAATTCAGTCCCCCCCCCCTCCCTCCCACGCGAAGCGCGGAAGCTTTTACGTTTCATTAAATCATTAGAGAAAGAAGACGATTTGTTGTACCGTTCTTGACTTTTAATCCTCATCTGAATTCAGTTTTTCCCTTCCCCCCTCCCGCGCAAAGCACGGAAGCTTTTACGTTTCATTAAATCATTAGAGAAAGAAGACGATCCGTTGTACCGTTCTCGACTTTTAATCCTCGTCTGAATTTAGTTTTCCCTTCCCCCACCCGCGCGAAGCGCGGAAGCTTTTACGTTTCATTAAATCATTAGAGAAAGAAGACGTCCGTTGTACCGTTCTCGACTTTTAATCCTCATCTGAATTCAGTTTTCCCTTCCTCCACCCGCGCGAAGCGCGGAAGCTTTTACGTTTCATTAAATCATTAGAGAAAGAAGACGATTCGTTAGTTTCTTAGTCTCTTAATTTCTTTAAAAAAGGGGGTGGGTTTTTGCTCTCTCTCTCTTTTTTTGGAATCCTGAGAAATATAAAAAGGAGGTTATAAAATATTGAATTTCATAGAAAAAATTATCAAATCCCGGGATCAAATTCCTGAAACTCCTGCTAGCTTTGAAAGCTCATTCAGGATTATTTCTTTTAAAAAGTAAAAACATCGGCCCGCAGTCCACCTCGATCGACTAGAGCTCACCTGATTTTTTTTTTTTTTTTTTTTTTTTTTTTTGGGGGGGGGGGGGGTGTGGTACATTTAGCAGTGTTTCCGGATTCGGGGGGGGGGGTGTGGGTCTCCAAGCAGGAAAAGCCAGCGAAAAGCCGGCGAAAGGGGGATTCAGAAATGTTGGCAGTCCTGAGGGGGGGGGGGGGGTGGGGGGGGGTGCTTTCAAAAGTAGTAACGAGCATACGCGTACCCGAAATAACACTTAATGGGGGAGCCGGGCATCTACTGTACATGATTGCACTTTTTAAGCGCTCGCGCGCTGGCGCACTTTACGTCTGGGCTATAATAATACCTTTCAAAATAACGACAAATTATTCTGAAGTTCATGAAGTGCTTGTTCGTACACGACGCGCAACTACAACTACTCTTAATGGTCGTTACATACTGTATACGTGTAGGCTATACAGTTATACATACATAAAAAATAACTCATTTCTCATGCATTATGCTGAAATTGAAACAATCACATATTTTTCTTCTTCTTCTTCTTCTTTTTTTTTTCTCTTCTTTTTTTTCGTAATATCAGGGGGGATGATTGTACAGGCCATCCCCCCTACTTCAAGCCTGAGGGGGATGCAGCCCCCCCCCCCACCCCCCCCCCCGGAATTTACGCCCCCTGCCGAGAACGGACGGACCTCATGCGTGTTACCAAAATGTCCGGGTAAATGTCCGCTAATGCCCGAGAATTGTTAAAAAAAAAAAAAAAAAAAAAAAGGGTGTATTAAACTTTTCACTTGGAGATTTTTTTTTAAAAGGGGGGTGTTTTTTTTCTTTTATTGCTCTCATCTCTTCGGACTCTTGAGAAATTATTTCCGAATTTAGGGCGGTACATTGAGCATTTTTTCATGATTTAGTAGTGGGTCTCCAAGGCAGGAAAAGCCCGCGAAAGGGGGGTTCGGAGTTGGCAGTCCTCAGATAGGGGGTGCTTTCAAAAAGAGGGAACAAGCATATGCGTACCCTAAATAACATTGAGTGGGGGGGGGGAATCGTTTTCTTTTTTTTAAATTTTATGAAACGTAAAAGATTCCGCGCTTCGCGCAGGGTAGGCGAAAGTGAATTCAGACAAGGGTTAAGACTAATAATTTATTGAAACGTCAAAGACTGAATTCAAACAAGGATTAAGAGTCGAGACCGGTGCAATGAATCGTCTTCTGTCACTAATAATTAAATGAAACGTCATAGCTTCCGCGCTTTGCGCGGGAGGGGCAAACAAGAATTAAGAATCGAGAACGGTTCAACAACGGATCGTCTTCTTTATCTAATAGTTTAATGAAGTGTCAAGGCTTCCACTCCGCTTCGCGCGGGAGGAGGGAAACTGAATTCAGACAAAGAACACGATACAACAAATCGTCTTCTTTCTCTAATAATTTAATGAAACGTGAAAGCTTCAGCGCTTCGCGCGTGATGAGTGAAAATGAATTCAGACAAGGATTGAGAGTAATAATGTATTGAAACGTCAAAGCTTCCGCGCTTAGCGTGGGAGGGGTAACTGAATTCAGACAAGGATCAAGAGTCGGGAACGGTACAATGAATCGTCTTCTTTCTCTAATAATTAAATGAAACGTCATAGCTTCTGCGCTTTGCGCGGGAGGGCAAAACAAGCTTTAAAAGTCGAGAACAGTACAACGGATCGTCTTCTTTCTCTAATAATTTAATGAAGTGTCAAAGCTTCCGCGGGAGGGGAAAACTGAAAAATAACTTAGTTCCTGGCCCCGGGTTTATAGGGTTAAATTTGTAGACATTTGGACATAATCGGTGACCTCTACACCCCCCCCCCCCCCCCCCCCCCCACTGAAAAAGATCTAGCGACGCACCTGATAACGACACAGTTTATACACTCGAGATAATTTTTGCAAGTACTACTGGTGAAGTACCGGACCACCGTCTTTGTGCATTGTGCGGCATCAAAGCATAATTTATACAACGTCTCACGACATGACAGATCACTTTTTCTCTAACTTCTAACCAATCAGAAGGCCTCTTTTTTCCATAAAGTGCCGGTGGACATTAATGCGCCAAATGTGGTTCTCAAATTGCAAAAGATTATTGGAAGGGGTAGCAGAAAGCGATTTTACGTCACATTACTCCAGGAAGTGCCGGAAAATGCGTCTAATTTGGTTCTAAAGTTGCAAATGCTTCTTACTCTGGGAGTGGGTCAGAACCCCCTCCCAGACCCAACCCTGCTTGGTCGCTCCGCTCCCTCGCCGTTAAAGCCTCGTTCTGTCGCTTCATCGTTTTACATATATTTCACCCCATGCCATTTTGTGCCCCCCCCCCCCCCCCGGTAAGAAATTCCTGGATCCCCTAATAATGCCCATACCCCTTAAGCTTCGGGGACTGCGCCCCTTGAACCCGGCCGGGGCTTTGCCTCTAGACCCCACTTTGAGAAACGTTCAGCGGGGCCTGCATGTTAGAGTGGGGTGATTCAGATTTTTTTTTTGTCAGCCCCCCCCCCCCCCCCCCAAACGTTTTTGCTCATTACGCCACTGACATATTGTTTATAGCTTGTTGAGTGCAGTGTCTTTCACAGAACGGTGTTTAGCGGGGAATCCCAACTGAGACGTCGCTTCAAAATCTGGTACATTATTAAAACACTCTCACTTCTTACATTCATCGTCACATATATCGGTTATCAAAAGGACTGAACAAGGAGCGGATATCCAGTTTGGTAATTAGAGATTGATTGTGTATCGATATTATTATTATTATTGATATTATTTATCTTAATTTTCACCGAGTTTCTTTGTTATACAAAAGTCAAAAAGTCTTCTTCTTCTTCTTCTTCTTCTTCTTCTTCTTTTTTTTCTTTTTCTTCTTCTTCTTCTTCTTCTTCTTCTTCTTCTTCTTCTTCTTCTTCTTCTTCTTCTTCTTCTTCTTCTGCTTCTGCTTCTTCTTCTTTTTCTTTTTCTCTTCTTCTTCTTCTTCTTCTTCTTCTTCTTCTTCTTCTTCTTCTTCTTCTTCTTCTTCTTCTTCTTCTTCTTCTTCTTCTATGTTTTTCTTCTTAATAGCGTTTCTTCGTTATCTTCTTTATTAGTTCCACATGTGCCCATGTATTGCAAATTCTTCTCCATTTTTTCCTTCTTGTTATTATCATCCTTTTCATTTTCTTTAGCTTCTTCTTCCTCTCCTAGGCTTGTTACTTAAAGATAAAGTTGTGTTCATGTCATGCGATTCATCGTGAAATAATCGGTAATCGATCATTGTTGATCATGTAGTAGATATTTTTCTCTCTGATGTTCTTCCACACTTGCATAATTAACATTGAAAACGCTCACACATTATTTTTCACCTGTCTCCAGAACTCAACTTTCTCTTTAAGCTAACTGTATCTCAAATTGTTAAACGACTGTCTTCTTTTCCCCAGGTCATGCGTCTTCGAATGTTTTCGCATATGTAATTCATCGAGCTTATAACGATCACTCACGTATCAAGTTTTTAATACATTCTGATCTAAGAATAAGTGTTATACGTGACTCAACATTCCGTTGAATTACCATTGTAAAACACGAACAGTGATGGTACTTGATGCATAAATAAATGAAATGGCCGGAGTGTTGGCTCAGTCAGTAGAACGTCCGCCTCATAACCAGAAGGTCGTGGGTTCGAACCCCGGCCGCGTCATACCAAAAGACGTTAAAAGATGGGAGTTGTTGCTACCTTGTTTGGCGTTCAACAATAAGGGATAGAGCAACGTCGATCTGGCGCTGCTCAGTGGCTGCCGGGCTCACGATCAATTGCTGGGCAAAAAGAATTTCCGTTTCGGTTTAATAAAATTTGGAGTGGACTATTAGGCTATTATCATTATTATTATTATTATTATAAGATGAGACTTACATCATCACCATGATCACCACCATCATCATCATCACCATCATCATCATTATTATCATCATCGCCATCACCATTACTATCTACTACTTCGGTGTCAACTCTTTTGTTATGGTCATCGCTCTTTTTGCAAAGCTTCTGCTAAACTTTGGAACAAATTAACTTTTACATGTCAAAAACTGTCAGACTGTCAACGAATTCAAAACTTGCCTTAATACACAATTATTCAAAATTGCTTTTGATGTTCATATTGATGTACAGTATATTTCATATGTATTGTAATTCGTAGGTTTATTTGTATTTGTTTCTGTTAAATATGTAATTGTTTTTTCATTGTATTTTCTTTGTTATAGCGCTTAGAGACTTCGGTGGAATGCGCTTTATAAGGATACTAACAACTGCCGGAAAAACGTAACAGGAAGGCACATGAGTTGCATATGTTCTGACAGTTTTGTGGATGAACGAACGAGGAAAAGAGAGTATTGCGCAATTTTCTATGACAAAATGCTTATTCACGAAGAAATTTCATGTTTTTTATTCCGAAAAGTTTGTGTGGATGAAAGAACGAGGAAAAAAGAGTATATATTGCGCAATTTCCTGTAACAAAATGCTTGTTCACGAAGAAATTTCATGTGTTTTTTTTTCCCCAAAAAGATTTTCTTTTTTAATACAGCTTTGGACGAGCTTGTCAAGTCTTATATTCATGTAAAATGTAACTTTTGATTTGTGACACTGAACGTAACAGGAAGGCACATAAGTTGCATATGTTCTGACAGTTCTGTGGATAAACGAACGAGGAAAAGAGAGTATTGCGCAATTTTCTATGGCAAAATGTTTATTCACGAAGAAATTTCATTTTTTTCTTCCGAAAAGTTTTTGTATATGAACGAACGTTGAAAAGGGAGTATTGCGCAATTTCCTATGGCAAAATGCTTATTCACGAAGAAATTTCCTGTTTTTTTTCCCCGAAAAGATTTTCTCTTTTTAATACAGCTTTGGACTAGCTTGTCTAGTCGCATATTCATGTATATTGTAAGTTTTGATTTGTGATAAATGTTAATACGAGGAGTAGCCTTGACAGGTTAATGGCTTTTGCTACTCACTTACATCCACTTCTTCACAGCGTACTCATCTTTGCTCATTATCACTTGATATGTTCTGTACAATGCTGTTGTTAGATTGGTTATTGTTGCATATATTGCATTTTTAAGAGATGTGAAATAATTGAACTTGATTCTGAATCATCATCATCACCACCACCACCATCAACACGATCATGTAAATGTCAGAATCCAACTGTGCAATAATCAAATACGCCGATGATACTGTCATTAGTGGATTTCTACTGAACGATGCTAAAGGGTTTATTATGAGCAAGTCAAACAGTTCGTTGACTGGTGCAATAGTCGTCATTTGGTCCTGAATGTAAACAAACTAAGAAAATTATTTTTGACTTCCGCCGTTCACGCCAACCCCAATTACATGAATCTTTGGTTATCCGTGATCACTCTATCGAACAGGTTTCAGAATATAAATACTTAGGAACAGTTGTTGACGAGAAGCTAAATTGGAATAGAAAGATTGTAGCTAGTAAAGCAAGCCAAAGATTGTACTTTCTGAGAAAACTACAGAAGCTCTTCTTTCATTCCTTTTCGGTCTATCATCTTACTCTGCTATCTCCTTTTTTTTTAGCGTAGGTCTTTACTTTTGTCATAATGTGTTCAAATTTGTTTGTAAATCTAATTGATGTTTTGTTTTGTGCACATTCATGTATTCTTATGTTATTGATTGTTATATTCTGCCAGTGGAGGCCAAATTTCTTTGTTTTTTTTAACGTGAACAATAACATTTGAATCTTGAATTATGAATCTTGAATCATCACCACCACCATCATCATCCGTACCACTATCATTATCAACGTCATCATTAAATACTCTCCACGCACTTTTTTTTATTCTCGTCTTGTTTTAAATATCTCTTTTACTACTTATCAGTTTCATTGGAAAGCGATCATCATCTCAATAATCATGAAGAAGTTGGCTGCTCTGTTTCTCGTGCTTCTTATCTTGTAAGTATATACTACTCAGGCGCGTACGCAGGGGGGGGGGGTTAACCCCCCTCCCCTTGAGTTTTGTTTATGTGTATGTTTTTCGGGAAACCCCCCCCCCCCCCCCCTCTTTTGAGCGTTGATTTTTTTTTTTTCCTTTTTTTTTTTCAATAAAAAAAAAAAAAAAAAATCTTAATGGATGACCCAAAAAAGATGACCATACCCCCCCCCCCCTCCCCCCCACAAACGAAACGGAATGTCAAACGGCCAATTTTTCAAATTTTGGGACCAACAAAATAAAAATATGTCCTCTTACTGGGGGGGGGGGTGAACACTCCTTTTATTCCCAACACTCACTCCCCCCCCCCCCCCCCCCCCCCATGGATCCCGCCCCTGGAATCATTGTATAATGATCATAAACGAAATTAGTAGATCATTGATTTTTTTTTTTTTACCATTATCATTAATCGCGATGTAATTATGTATTGTAAAAGGCATTATTTATTCCCATGCTCACTGTCTCACACGAGTTTTGAATAGGAATAGGGTCGAGCTGTCGGGATGATCTAAATTTGGTAATCATAAAAGATATATATATGTATAATATCTTACGATCATGTTGTATATATATATATATATATATTTTGTTTTCTTCCTTTTATTTGAAAAGAAAAAGGGGAAACAAATTGTATAAAGTATTGCGAGTAATATAATCTATTCTCATCCCTACATTATATTGCAGGTGAGCAGTGGCGTACGCAGGATATTTTCAAGGGGGGGGGGGTTAAAAAAATCGCAACGACTCAGCCAGCCGCTGAATAAGCAAAAAAACATACACAAAACATACACTTAAAAAAACTCAACGGGGGGGGGGGGGGGGGGGGGGGGGTTAACCCCGAACCCCCCCCCCCCCCCCTGCGTACGCGCCTGCAGGTGAGACATGCAGTAGTATGTTAATTTGTGTCACTCCTGGTTATTGTTATTTTTACTCTTACACTCAATTATCTATGTTACACTATAACTTTGGAATTTGTTATCCAATGTACACAAATTTTGAAATGATCCTATCTGTTTGGATTGAAATCAATAGATTTTTAATTTGAATTTGAATTTATTCTGATTGTCGTAACTTTCCTGTCTCTGAATTAATCTCGTTCAGGAACAGCGCCAATGCCGGGGTGCTGTCGGACATCGTGTGGGGTGTTGGAAAAATCGCAGTTGGAGCCGTTGCAGCACCTGTAGTGCTTACTGCTGCCGGCTTTACAACGGCTGGTATTGCTGCTGGGTCATGTGCCGCGGGAATGATGTCAGCTGCCGGCCCCACTGGGTATGCCGCGGGTGTGGTCGCTGGACTCCAAGCTGCTGGAGCAGCCGGTTATGTGCCACCCACTGCGGGAGCCGTGGCTCGTGTCGTTGCAAAGTCTTTATATGATAATTATTAGAAGTTATTCTTTTTGAAGATTAGAATTGTTGATGTACCATACTTCCATAGGTCGCCCTTGGCTTAATCCAAGTTAATCAAACCGTCTTTTAGCCAATTCAATTTAATTTTGCACACTGTACCCTATGTCGATCTTCCCGTTGTACCCTAATCTTAAAAGTTACTCATGCAAATAAATATAATTCTCCTTGTTAAAAAACTGCTGTTTTCATTTTAATTGATTTTGTCTCCTTTCTATTTCCAAAAGTTGGATTTTTGGTAATTTCAACCACCATATGAAGCCACCATAATCATAGTTTCATTCTCATTATTATTATTATTATTATTATTATTATTATTATTATTATTATTATTATTATTATCATCATTATTTTGTAGAGGGTTACATCATTGAAATAATTTAAACTTTTCAGGGTAGCTTCAAGAAACTTTGACATTTGATTACATAAAGACAAAGTCCCGATCTTTTGAGGGGAGGGACACGTAGACAGAAATTCTCCGACAAGCAAACATACTTCAGAGAAAATAAACATGTATAATTAGCACATCGTAACTCTAGTTTTATGCCAGATTTGATTTGGGTGCGGAAAGGATGCAGGCCCCTGCTCCTGAATCCTCCCAACGAGAACGTTGAGGTGAGATGTTTCATAATATGAGCGCACAATTAAATGAAACTTCAATTGTTTCAATTAACTTTTAATACTAAACTTGTGTTCAACCCAACTTCATTTTGAAATGATATCGTAGTCTTCAGTTACTCCTTTTGTCATGCATGATGACTAATACATTTTCAAGTTGATGAACAAATTGTTGATTTTATGATGTTCCTGATGTATTAGGCCTATGATGTATATAAAGGGAAAACACACCATACAAATTTCTGCATTTTTTTTCTTCAGATCGTAGAGTAGATCAAAGAATTGTCTTGGGCACCGCCTCATTTAGCACCACACACAGAGAAATAAAAGGTGTTCTTGGGGAGTAAAACGAAATTGGAAAAATAGGGCGCCCCCTATTACACCTTTTAGGGAGTAAAACACGGAAATACGCAAGGGTGTACAGAATAGTCAATTGAGAGGTGTAATTTTACACCCTATTTTAGTCAGACGAGCTCTGATTGGTCAATATATGCGCATGCGCTACACCAATGGTGCATCCTATCTATATAGGTACTGCCAAATGAAGGAAAATTAGCATAATTTACATATTTTAGTCATGTTGGGGGAATTAACATGTTTCATTTGGGCATATTATTTGTGTGAAAGTTATCTGATCAAGAATAAGGGGTTGTACCGAAAGTTATATTTGATAGTTTAATGAAATTAGCAGAAGTGTTGTTTTACTAACTAGTACATAATTGCCTTCTTATACGTGTAAGTAAAGGGAAGATTTTCGCTAATTAATCATATCTGATTGATACACGTCTGTAAAAAAAAAAAACAATACACACACTCACACGGTATTAAGGTAGGACTGTGTTTTTAGGAATTTCCACTACATTAATTTTGATCCGATACGTTCATCCAGGCCAGCCTCACCGAGGCTAAATTTAAGTTGTTTCTTACAGTCTGCACTTGTGTTGAGTTCATACTAACTGTTGTTTAGGTAAGAATTAAAACTTTACAACATATAGCTCGAGATTCTGGTCTGATTTCTTTAGAGCAGTAAAACGTAGACAAAAGGGGGTGAGAATCAGTGACTGTGTTAAGTGATTACGAAGCATGGATGATTGATTGCTCGAGGGATGATCATTTGGTTGATGCTGTGCATAAGAAGGGTGTAGATTTACTCCCCACAAGGTGTGGAATCGATCATATAGGGTATAAAATTTAACCACACGGGTGTAAATTTGAACCCATTTTTCATGAAAATGGAACCAAAAGGTGTTAATTAAGCACCATTGGGTGCAAATTTCACTCCTTAAAGGGAGTAAAATCATAACCTTGGGGTGCAAATTTGCACCTTCTTGTGGGGCGTAAATTTATGTAAATGTAAAGCCTAGAGGGTGGGGCGTTCCCTTGTAGGGTATGGCCACACGGCACTAATGTCTTTTGGTGAGGCATTAATCTACTTGTGCCACTCCATTCCCAGGAGAGTAATGGGGACATTTGAGTTAGCCTTTGAGTTATGCCCTCACGGTGGTAGGAGTACTCCCAAATGAGTGGAGATGGTGCACATTGTCCTTGAATAAATCCTGTAAACGGGGTAATACTGTTAAGCGCTTAGAGACGGTTTATAAGTGGCCCAAACATTGTGGAGCAGTGTGTGCAGCGCTTTGTAACCGCAAGGAATGGATTGGATTGGTATTTCGTTATTGATAGAAGGATAGTAGCAGTCGTAGAATCGTTATTATTATCATTATTATAATAATAATTATAACTACCCTCTAGGACAACTAACCCGGACATTTACCACCGGACAACTTCCTCCTAGATAGTTGTCCGGGGGTAGTTGTCCTATATAGAGGATGGTTGTCGTAGGGGTAGTTGTCTGGGGCTAGTCGTCTGGGGGCAGTTGTTCGGGGGTAGTTGTCATATAGGGGGTTGTTGTCCTTGGGGTAGTCGTCCGGGGGTAGTCGTCATAGAGGGTTGTTGCCCTAGGGGGTAGTTGTCCTAAGGGTAGTAGACTGGGGGTGGTTATCAGGAGGTGGATGTCCAGGGGGTAGGTGTCCTAGAACCCATTTGATTATATCAAAGAGAGTGGGGGAAAGATCGTAGAGGGACTCGAAGAGATAGAGAGGGTTGGACGAGCGAATACAGAGAGGGAGCTATAGGGGAGGGGAAGATGCAGGAGGAGAGAGATCCAGAAGAGGTGATGGGTGAACGAGTGATTTAAATGGAGGGAAGGAGAGCGACGGAGGAAGAGAGAGGGGCATGGCTCTGTTCACAATGATGTATATTTCATATGTATTGTAATGTGTAGGTTTGTTTGTTTTGTTTTGTTTTTAATATATAACTGTTTGCCATTGTATTTTGTTTGTTATAGCGCTTAGAGACTTCGATGAAAAGCGCTTTATAAGCACCGTTTTTATTATCATTATTAGATAGAGGGGAGTCGTTAAGGCTGAACTACGGTCTTCATTTTTGTTTTTTGTTTTGGGGGATATTAAAAGGTCAAACCTTATGATCTACAAGCAAACTAACAATTACCGGAAAATCGTGACAGGAAGGCATGGAAATTGCTTATGTTCTGTGGATGAACGCATGAGGAAATAAGAGTATTGCGCAATTTCCTATGGCAAATTGCTTTTTCACGAAGAAATTACATGGTTTTTTTTAACGAAAGATTTTCTCTTTTTAATATAGCTTTGGCCGAGCTTGTCTAGTCTTATATTCGTGTAAATTGTGTAATTTTGATTTGTGACAGGGATGCATGTAAATACGGGGAGTAGTCTGGCCAGTTCAATGGTATTTGCTACTCCCTCACATGCGCGTACACAGGGGGGGGGGGGGAGGTTTGGGGGTTACGCCCTCAAATTTGTTTACGTGTAAACATTTTTGTGTTTTTTTAATTGTGCGCTAAAGGGGGCTAAAAAAAAAGTGGTCTTACACCCCCCCCCCCCCCCCCCCCCCCCCGCTTATTCACCTGCTTGCTGATTCGCTGCTAAATTTTACCTCAAAAACTGGAAGAAAAAAATATATATGTGCTCTTACCCCCCCCCCCCCCCCCCCCCCCCCCCCCCCGCCCCCCACCTGGTTATTCACCGGCCGGCAGCGAAAACATTTCCTCAAAAAGTGGACAAAAAAAAACGTATTACCCCTCTCAGATAATGAGCTAACAAGGAGAGAGACAACGAAGAAGGAATATCAAAGAGAAAGGAAAAAGTAAAGGGTAGGACTACTTTAACAACCTGCTAGGTAGCCTTTTGACAAGGCCTCGTGACTCTGGCTATTTTCCACCCCAATCAGGGGCTGAGATGAACCTAGACACTCAGAGTGAACGCGCGTTAGAGTGGCGGTAGCCGCGAGGCCTTTTGCAATTTAGCTTTACTGCTCTGTATGAGTTATTCGTTCATTATCAAAAACACGTAAAAAAAAGGTAAAAGACGTAAATAAGTTTTGCTATGAGATGAACATAATGAGATGAACATATAAATGATAGATACAAAATATCACATTCAAATCTATTTTGCATGCAAAATTACAATAAAATAGTAAGCATTTGATGACCTATGCTAACAATCATAAGTCATGAGTCCAACTCGTTTTCGTTCCATGTAGAGGTCAGTGGTCTTAGCCCATACGTCATTCTTAGTTCATAGTAGGTCCATGTTCGTACTACGTAGAGTTTACTATGTGTGTGTGTGTGTGTTTCCATGTGTGTGTGATGGACAATATATGATGACGTCATGCGAGGATACGTTCGCTGATTGGACGCTACTATTTCGGTAGAGAATTCCATACGGAAACAAAGGTTAACAAAGGATTTCCAATCTAGATTACTAAAGGCTACTTGGCTGCGCTACTCGCTCAGACGTTTACTAGGGTTTTCGCGATTAGTCTCTTTTTAGTCGCCCGGCGTCTATCAGACATGTGAACTTGTTTAAAGGCCTTGCTAGGCGAAACAATTACTGTTGCAAGCATAATTACATGGGCGCGGATGGAGAAATGGACTGGGGGGGGGGGTGTTTCACAAAGGTCCTAAGTAGAACTTAACTCTAAGTTGGACTTAAAAATTATGGAGAGCCATTTGTAGCCTTAATATGAAATATATTCAAAAGCAGAAATCAAGTATTTTAGACTTTTCATAATTACCACATCAAGAACATGAAATCTCCTTGATAACTGAGAATATGAATGATCTGAACTAACATTTATGCCTTTTAAAATAACTTTTACAAATTAATTTCAAAGATCCTATAACGGCTTTCCATAATTGATAAGTCCAACTTAGAGAAAAGTTCAACTTGTGAAACACCTCCAGATCTTCGATAACTGGGATAATGAGTGCAGAGCCATTTACGCACAACGAGCTTACGAGTACCAACAAAAATGTAATTAACGGAGGGGAAAGTGCATGAATGAGTATATATCTTCGTCCATGACAAAGTCATGTAAAGAGAGAAACACAAATATTCTGGAATCATCGCCGATAATGCATTCACAATGTAGGGGAATACCAATGTCTACTAAACATGGTATATTTTCGCGTTGAGGTTCCCTTTTTATAGGTGCCCCTTATTTGCAGAAAGTGCCTTTTTGTTGGTTCCCCCTTCCACTTTGCAGGACCCTCCACCGCCCCTGTGCAAACCCTATTCAGAAATCAAACTTAAAAACAAATCATAACCCCAACCCTATACCCTATGGGTACCTATACCGCATGGTACCGGTAGGAAGGAATTCCTTGAATGCTGTGAGCGCCGAAATCGGATGAGACCGAGGCCTTAAATCGATCGCAAAATAAAAATGGGAAGCTCCACAATTTGGAATAGATATTGGGGCTTTCGTGAATTCCTTTTCGCCGTAGACAAAGTTGAATTGGTAAAAAGTCACAACAATGAATAATATAAAGCTCGTTTATCAGATTCATCATGATTTGGAATACAATGTAAGATTTATTTTCTAATAATTGTCCCTCCACACCCCTCCAAAATGTTGGTGTTGTCTAAATGCGGAAATATGATCGGCCGGTAATTCTCAGCAGAAATGTATTTTCATAATTATGCACCCAAGTTCATACCTAAAGTACGTTGCAATCTTCTGGAGTTAGACTGCAAGCAACTAGGAAGTATTGTCATTCGCCTCACAAAACTTGTTACATTCATTACTACCTGTACAAATTTGTTCAATTCTCTCCGAGGGTTTTAAACAAGGAACAATAAATTTAGATTACTTTTTAGGAAGTACTTTCGGAGTCAATTCTAATGTTCTCGCAGTACAAGCAAAGTTAAACTGTCCTGATTACAAGGTAAGTTGTGTGTTGAACTTCTTCCAACACTTGTGACTGTGTATTCGTATTCACATAAAATGAGTGGGATGTTATGTGGTGGTAAGTGTGATGTATTTAAGTCGAGATTAAGAGGAATTAACACGAACAGGCAAATCATGATCTTCTTTTAAAGATATCCGGTAACTTTGTCTTAGATCCTTTAAAAATAATCCTTGATTTAGCTCATGCTGCAATGATAATTATAAACCTTTAGGTCAGTCAGGAACTCCATGACTTTTACAAGCCGATCGCCTGTCTGATTATCAAGATATTAATGATTGGAATTACAAAATTTGAAAACCGTTCGCCGGACGGTTTTCATAACACTACAGTCTATTGGGGAAAACGAGTATGGTAAAACCGGTCACTCAAAGATTTTTACTTTTTTGAGGCACTTCTTGATCATTTTGAAGCGCGATTTTTTTTTTAGGACTTCAATATTACACCATACCACAGACACTGGTAACATGTAGAACCGTATATCTCAGATTTAACATTGTTAAACGATCCCTTTAAGTTGTAGTCCTTCTAAATCATAGTGCAACTTTCATGGAAATGTATGTTTGCTAAGGTCTACAGTTATGCATCAGTTTTGTAATACAATTGTTCTAAAAATAAGTTGTTGTTGCACTGGTGGCTTTTATTAGTAATTCTAATAATGATTCCGATTTTAATCACGTGTTTCTCCTCCTTCCGTGCGAGCATACAGAGCAGCGACAAGTCGCTTATGCACACCATTCGCCCCCAAAATCGTGTAGTGTAAATGGCAGTCCCAAAAATCGATGACTTTAAAAATGGTGTTTGAGCTGTGTAAATGGGCCTATTAATGTGTAATGCTTTTTATTTCATTTTATTTTGTATTGTTTTGTTTCAGGTTGGTGCCTTGTTCATTGTATGGAAGGTCAATGAGCAGGGGCTTCTCTTCTTGTCTATACGCCCCACCAGACATTGCCTTATCAATATGGCATCCATACAGAAAATAAAGTGGAGGCGCTACTTCCTTGTCTTGATCACTGTCATGATGCTGGTGGAATGCAACGATGGGAGTAAGGATGGACAGCTTTCATCCTACCTCGGAGCTAGTTTTTAAGATGAGTCAGGCATGGCGCTCAACCAGATGGTGGTCAGCAAAGAAAGTGGAACAGACTTCGTTTACATTGGAGGAGTCTCAACACTTTATCAGCTTTACTTGAATTTGACCCTACTGCAGCAGGAGAGCACAGTTCCAGATGATCCAACAGAATGTGAGGACCCAGCATGCCTGTATGATACCAAGATCTTGGAGGTAGCGCCGGCACCTGTTAGTAAGCTCGTTCAGTGCGGCGGACCAGAAGGCAAATGCGAACTTAGGAATTTGATGGATATTTCAAGAGAATTTGGTTACACCCGCAACGTCGTAGTATCTGTAAATGAAGATATGTCTGCAGGAGTTGTCGCAGTTCGAAAGTCTGGAGACCGTCCGGTAATCATGTTTGTTGCCCAATCCCAACCCCGAGCCGATAGCAGTGAGCGACCAATCACTCAAAGAGAACTGATACGCTCAGATAATCCAGATTACATATTTGAATATACAGGAGAAATATATGGTGTCTCTGATCCAGTTAATTATATTCAAGGAGTTTCCTGGGAGACTTATAACTATTTCATTGTACATAGTGGTTCAGAAAAGTCAAGACTAGGTAGAATCTGTTCAGACAATACTCAAGTTGAACTTGATGCATACTCTGAAATCACATTGTCGTGCCAGCCCGGGTCGTATAGCACTCTTCAAGCAGTCTATATTGATTCAAATGATGTACTGTATGGTGTCTTCACAAATGGAACACATTCGGCCTTGTGTTCATACACAATGTATGACATTCAGGATAAGTTTGTTGATGCTACTTGTGGCTGTGTTATTAGTTCAGATGCAAGCTGTAGTGGAACAGGGATATCATACCTGAGCACAAGCTCTTCCTGCCGTAAATCAAACGTTAGTACATACACATTTATTTCTCTATTTTTAGAAACAGAACTTTTTAAAGGGAAGAGAGAGAGAGGAGGGGAAAGGTGCAAAGGAAGAAAGGGGAAAGACGAAAGGGGGGAAAAGGGGGGAAAAGAGAATAATGAGAAGGAAAAAGAAAGAAAGTGGGATGATATTATAAGAAGGTGTTTTTTACCGGGAAAGGAGCGGGGGAGAGGGGCACGCAATATTGCAGTGTGCATAATATGGGGTCCCTCTTACCAGGCGTGTAGCCCCCCCCCCCCCCCCCCCCCTAACAAAAGCACAAGAAGAACCAAAGAAAGAGATGGAAAAGGGGGGGGAAGAGAGAAATTGTGTGAGTTAAAGGAGAAAGGGAAACAATTAAAGAGAATTAAACAACTTTAGAAGAGAGGTGCGAGAGCATGAGGAATTGCATTTCTTTCTAAAAGAATAATGGGATAACAACTATGGGCGTCGCTAAAGGGTGGTTGGGGGTGCGACCCCCCCCCCCCCCCTCAATCTGTCAGGATATTGTCGGTAAAATTGCGCTGCTGTCGGGGGAAATGAGGGGAAACAAAAGAGAAAAAAAGGAAAGAAAAAGAAAGGAAAGAGAAGAGAAGAAAAGAAATACATCTCATTTTCCTTTAAAGATAAACTCCAGTACTGGTAAAAAAAAAAAAAATTCTCACAGAATCAAACGAAACTTACACGGAATGTTCAAGATTAAAAATAAATGACACGTGCCTAACAATTTTGGAAGAAAATGTATACTGGCTGAGTAATGAGCATAGAAAGACAAGGAAATCAAGGTAGTACTAGTCCCGACACCATGTGTGTTGTCCCATATATAGCTTTCTATGTGAGTGCTTGTTACTTTACCAAGACTCGGTCAAATTTATTATGATTTTGATGACTCCATACCTTGCAGTGCACACCAATACTTACATGCTACATGATCAACTGTTTCTGATCCTTTCCACACCTTTCTTTCACAATGCAATCGCATTACCAGTACTAAAGTTTATCTTTAACTGTAATTCTTTAGTTATGGGTTTTGAGACATGGCTAATTCTTTATTCTATTGACCAGCATGTTGATTTATCTTCACATCTATAAGCAAAGATTACTAAAAAAATGTCTTTTTTGTATTCAATGATGATACAATCAAAACAGGGTGCAAGCCCCCCCCCCCCAAAAAAAAAATAATAAATAAATAAAAAATTACTGAATCTTTATAAATTAAAATTACCCCCTGGAAGCCCATCATTCAAAGCTATATTGTCTTAATGGAGGATTGATGAATTATCCAAAAAGTCAGAATAAGTCAAGAGAGTAGACGTATTTGTTTCTAGTTCATTGTGACTGACTATGCCATGGACTAGTGATGGCCTGGTGGTAGAGTCACTGCCCGGCAAGCAGTAGATTCAGGTTCAAATTACGCGGGTGCCAAAAAAAAATTCTGACTTGTGTTTCAGTTACAAGATCGAGCAGGCGATCTTTATACTTAGTGCTAGCCAAAAAAATATTTACAAATTGAAAAGCAAAAAAGGTTAATAGATTTGAAGGAAAAGAGAACAGAAGGGAGAATGAAAAGCTTGTGCTTTACTCTTAATCAGGAAGTTGCTTATTGTAACCGACTATGTATATGACAAATTCATTATTTAAATAATTGCCATCATTTGTACAGCAGCGATGACGGTTTATTGCATTGTAACATGCTTTGATCACATGTTTTGAAGTCCAAATTCCCAAGTTTTCTCAAGGTAGGAGGGGAGCCCACACCTACACGATGATGTACATATTATCTCAATAGCTTTACTAATGACTAGTGATATGTGTACTTGTATTTCAAATTTTAAGAGTTGCCTTGAGAACGAATGTTTAAAGGTAAAGCCAGTTATGGTCATGCGATTGCATTGTGAAAGAAACGTTGTGGAATCGATCAGAAAAGGTTGATCATCTAGCATCTAGCATCTGCAAGGTTCTGGAATCATCAAAATGATAAGAAATTTGGCTCATTCTTCGTAAAGTTACAAGCACTATACACAGAAAGATGTATATGGGACTACCCTATATCTCTCACAGACCATGAGAGAAACAAATTTACCAAATATATGACGATTAGTAGGCGGTTTCCCGTCAAATTTTGTATCATCATGTATTAGTCAAAACGTATTCTTTCACATGATTGGTAATGAGAGCTTTCATTTCATTTTTTGAAATTGGGGCGTTTCCAATACTGGTCTTTACCTTTAAGAAACCAACTTAGTGACTTACAAGCGGGTGTTTGAAATTAGTACATCGTACCATTTATAAGGCAATCTTATGAATGGCTTTCAAGATTAGATGCAATATTTTCACTCTGGTAGTGCCGGCTAGAGATTTTACGTTTTCGGGTTTTCCATCCAATTTGTACATCCTTTTGTCCGTTCCGCTTTCTCGTTATCACAAGAATCAGTTGAGATATGATCTTGTGATAGAATGTATCACCATGGAAAGTCAATCTAAGTACATTTTGGGGTAAGTAGATCTAAAGTCAAGGGTCATAAAGGTCAATGTCCATGACATTTCAGGGTTTTAGTCCTGTTATCATGAAATCTCAAGAATCATTAAAGCCAAAATATGTGTTAGCATGCATCACCATAGTGACTTAATTAGTGAGATAGACTGATTAGATTTTTGAATAAAAGTAGGTCAAACGTCAATGATCATATAGAGGTCAATTTACATGAAATTGCAGTGTTTTAGCCGCATTATCAAGTTGAGCCATTAACTTCAAACTTGCTATTAGTATGCATCACCATAGTGAGACAAACCGGATAGATTTGGGTTTAAGAAGGTCAAAAGTCAGCGAGTCAATAACATTTTTAAAAACTTGTTTTCACATCAATAACTATTTCAATTTCCAAGCTAATTTAGCTGTAAATTTACAAACTTTTGACTGGTATGCATCACCAAATAAAGGAAGACAAGTGATCAGATTTTGAGATTGTCAGGTCAAAGGTCACAGGTCGTTACAATAAGTTGACTTGTAATTAAATGTATATTTTGTTATTTGTTATCACCGTGATATTTTAAGAATGATTCAAGCCTTGAATATCGGCTGAGGCATATTGAAGACATAGTCGCATTTGTCTTGTTTCAGTTAATATTTTGTTTTGAATTCAATATGTTTATACATGTACATGTGTGTACTTTTTATCACCAGCCCGGCACAACTAGAGAACAAATTGAGGAAAATCTTCAGTGTGACAGCAGTTATGGCAGTTCCAGTTACAAATATGCACAGGCTACAAGTCCCCTCATTGGAATCCCTCTTGCAGCAGATCTTCCTGGACTACATTCCTCTATCGTCACCCTTAATAAAGGAAATGAAATTGTTGCCTTGGTTACCACCTCAACAACATCAACTGCTACTCTCAGCAAGGTAATATTACTTAATTTATCTTCATATTTTTATGAATTTTAGTAGGCAACTTCCATGTGCATTTGGTAAAAAAAATTCAAGATAAACTTAAGAAAAAAAACATGTCATACTGTAATACAAACTTATTTGATCATTATACAGCTTCAGTCATGATTCCTAAGTGGTGCAAAGGACTGTGTGGGCTAACAGTAATGTGTAAATCATGTGAACAGAGCATATCTTGTATATAGATCATGTACTCGATGCTAATGAGCAAGTCCAACTACATGAACATTTACATATATATTTTATATATAGGCCTACTTTCAATATTCGTAATATTGTGTACATACATGTATTATGACATTTAAAGACTTCTTTTCTGAGTATGAAACTGGGGGATACTTGAAGAAGAACAACAAAAATTAAACCAATCATTACTCTTCTGAATTTTAAGTTTTTCTCCTGTAAAGATTGTAACCACTAATGCCTGGATTACATTTGGCCTGCGATTAGTCTACGGAGCCCGTATCCTGCCCGTATCCCCTTTTCCGTGTGGTCTCTGTGCGGAGGCAGGAGGCGGCCGTGAGATTTTCGTACGGATTCACGGGCTCCGCGGCGACTACGATTTTGTTTCGCGAGGAGTTAAACAAATTTGAAAAATCGTAAGCCCGTAGCCCGTAGACATGTCGTAGGTGGCATTGCACAATCCCCGGACGGGTATTTCGTGGAGGCCTCACGCTGATCGTGCAGCAAACGCACGATTTTTCAGTGAACATAGGGGTAACAGACGCCGAAAAAACTGCACGGAGGCTGCACGGTCATCGCGCCTTCTCCGCGCAACCTCTGCACTGAAGCTTTACGAGCTCCGTAAGATTTACGTACGGAGGTTGCAGAGACTGCACGGGTGTTGCACTGAAATTGCACGATTTCCGTACAGTCTCCGAACAGCCTCTGTACGGCTGCGATCCGGTCTGCCCCTGAGGGCCAATACAAGAAATGGCACGATGCTCGTAGATAATGTAAACACAAACATCGTAGCCCGTAGCCTCCTACGATGTCTACGAAAAACCGTAGACTAATTTATCGTACGGCGCCCGGGGCAAATGTAATCCAGGCATAAGTTATGAAAAATTATTTAGATTGTTTTCATAATTAAAAGTTTTTATCCTATATTCCCTGTATTCTTCTCTGTTTTTTGTAAGTCGAGTCATACATAAACAGTGGATTGCAAGTAAACAGCTCTTGATGATTACGTCCAATCTATTTCCTTTTTATTGTGATCCTTTCCACTCAAGAACCAATCTATGCATCGCAAAATATTGCAAGTCCATTCCAAATCAATCCAGACTAGTTACAAAGTACATCACAACTTGTTTTACGAAGTAGTATAGCTTCAGGCCTGTTCATTGACTGACGATTTTGTGAGAGTGATGATGACCAATTAGGACATACACAGGCCTAGAAAGATATAATTGTATTGACAAAAGAAAAAGGTTAAATAGGCCTACTAATATATGTATTGTGTGTTTTGTATCACAAAAGCATAAATGTCTATTTATTTCTTCTTTCTTTCTTCTTTCTTCTTTCTTCTTTTTTTCTCTCTCTTTCTTTCTTACTTTCTTTAGGTATGTATGTCCGTATTCATTTATTTATGCATTTATTTATGCATTTATTCATGTATTTATTTATTTACTTTTGTCTACACCTTGTTTTGTTGATTTAAAGGATTATCATAATTTTGTTTGTTTGTTTGTTAGTTTTTATTTTTAAAAAAGTCATAAAATATGTTCTAGGTAAACCCATGGAGAATATCTTCCTATATAACCAAAGAAGGAAGAAAATGTTTAAATTGTGTCATTTCTCATGGTTAAACTTTCAGATTCATGTACAGCCTGACAATACTGGGAGACTTTACGAAACGGTCAATTTTGATGTTGGTGGGCACATCTTGCATGATGTACATATCAACCAGGATAGCGAGGAGCTGTATATTCTGACTACCAAGGAGGTATGAATATAATGAAATAACATTCTATTTCATTTCAATATCATCTCCTTTGTTATTTTCGGAAGCTCTCTCAATATCAGTGAGTACAGTGGCGCATTGAGGGCTGGCCTTGGAGGGGGAACATTAACAAAAAGTAATTGATTAATTCTTTTATAATAATGGGCATGTGTCCCATGCCAAATTTGATAACATACGTGCATTTCTTCATTAAATTTCTTTGCATCATTGGTTTGTCTGATTCTTGTCGTTGCTGTTGTTCCTGTTGTTGATGATGCTGTTGCTTTCTGTTTTTGCTTGATTGTCAAAAATATTGAACATTACATTATGCCCCCACCCCTCGCAGCAAAGAATCCTGCGATCTGCTATTATTAAAGTCAACATCTCCTTTTCTAGACACATGTAGATGTTCCAAAATATCAGTACCTAAAACATCATTTGTGATGTGATGTATACTATTGAGATATGTTGGTAATTGTTTACTGGTAGTCATATATTTCCATGAAAAGAAAAATACAGTCATTTAGCATGTATTTCTCAAGCAGATTCCAGGTACCTGCATGACACTTTTAGAAGCTTACTTCCATTCGAGTACCAAAATGTTTAAAAGCCAACTTAAATCTTAAATGAAATACCGAGTTCAAATCCTATTAAGATCATATCCCGATATTATATGAAGTTTATTAATGCTGTGGAATGCCAGATTCCAATATTTTGTGAGCGCCTATCGCAAAGCTTCACCCATTGGTGCTCCCAATTTTACCAGTGATACAGACTCGCATGTTTAATATAGAATGAGAAATTCTCACTATCGCCTGGGCTCGGTGATTTTTACCCCATCATTTTTGTTTACCTCTGACATCTTTTTTTTTTTGGGGGGGGGGGAGGGGTATAAAAAGGTCAAACCTTATGGATATACAAGCAAACTAACAATTACCGGAAAATAGTGACAGGAAGGCACGAAAATTGCATACGTTCTGTGAATGAACGAACAAGGAAAAAAGACTATTGCGCAAATTCCTATGACAAAATGCTAATTCACGCAGAAGTTACATGTTTTTACTTCTGACATTTTCACCTCTGACATATTTACCTCTGACATTTTTTTACCTCTGACATTTTTACCTCTGACATTTTACCTCTGACATTTTTTTAGCTCTAACAATTTTTCCTCTGACATTTTTACCTCTGACATTTTTAGCTCTGACATTTTACCTCTGACATTTTTACTTCTGACATTATTACCTCTGACATTTTTACCACTGACATTATTACCTTATAGGTTTGGAGTCATTGTGGAGTCGTTTAGGCAACTACAATGTAGTTCACACCTGGACATATTGTGGGCCATACATGTAATTGTACGAAGAGCGTTTTGGAAGATGTTTTCATGTTCTCAATTAAGGTACATGTACATAGCACAGTAAGATCGAGAGATGTTTTAATGAAGAACAACTGCTATGAAGATGACATATACAAGCTTAGCAGGTGCATCTGATGGAAATACAATTACTTCAAAATTGAATGGGGACATGCAACCAATTGTAGGTTTTCAACTGGATTAAACCATAGAAATACATTTTTGTTGCAATTTATACCTGGACTATGCCGTTGTACAATATTTGAATTATCAATCAGCTGGGGCGGCCGAGCGACTTCCAAAGTGGGGGCGGGGGGCACCAACAATGGGAAATCTCAAAGCGAAAATATACAATTTTTTAGACATTAGTATATACCCCTACATTGCGATTACATTATCAGGGATGATTTCAATATTTGTTTCTCTTCATACATCATACAAGATATCGCTTAATCAATCAGGTTCAGATGTTGCTGCTGTAAAGAGGTACATAGAAAATTTAAACGTAAAAGAGACCGTTAGCATACTTTATGCTACATGTCTACATGTGCACCCAAGTACAAAAAACAACTTTGGGTTAACTTCCATAGAGGCTTTTACTTGAAATCTTTTCCCCCATATAATTTGAATCCTTAGCCATATAAATCCATCATATTTTTGTAGGTGATTTTACTTTATGTTTTATAATATGCAAATCATGTTTGTGATTGATCCTATCCAAGTAACATATGTCAATATACATGTGAAAAATTGTTTCAAGCTTTTAAGAAGTGAAAGTTTACATGTACTTTGATTTGCTTGCGAAATGTATAACAATCTATAATATATATGGCTTTTATGAATGCACATAGCTTCCTGATGACGTTTACATACATGCAATCAGTACATCAAGTTATTACTGTTACGAGAATAATGAGATGTCTTATTATTGATATCCTTTCTTAATTGAAGCTTATGAAACTGGCTGTTGTCAATTGTAGTCAGTATTCAAGCTGTGATGAGTGTCTCAGACCAACCACTGATGACGGAGATCCTTTCTGTGGCTGGTGTACATTGGAAAGAAAGTAAGCGCCCTCAAATCTCATGTTTATTACTGTGAAACCTGTATATAAAGACCATCCAACAGAGAAGAAAAAAGATAGTCTACAGGTAGGTAGTCTTTATATACAGGTTCCTTTGATATGTGATTCAGTGTAAAACACTGTTCTAGAGAAAATGAAGATGTGATCTTTATGGAGGTCTTTATGTACAGGTGATTGTTACAGCCGGTTGGACTGAATTTTACAATGTTACAAATTATCATACTTATCATGCTTTTATTAGAAATCTGTATTGGAAAAGAAAACATTGGAAATACTCATGTACATGTATGTTTTATGGTGTAGAAGTTTTAAATCAAGAAGGGTACGATCCGATTCTGCCAAGTGTGCAAAGCGGAAGAGGAGGACATCACACACTTCATACCCAAGTGCAAACCACTCGGGAATCATCGCCAGAAGCTGGTCGACAATCTCCACCACAGGGGCGTACAGCAGTCGACACTCGCTCTATTCAGTCCAGATGACCCTGAGACCTTCACGCGGGCAGTCCTACTTCCGAATGTTCTAACTGTCTGCCCTAACCAAAAGAAACTTCTTATTAATGCATCACTGTCATTTTTATACAATATCCACTCTGCTCGTGCTAATGCAATCGCTAATACACTTTCTACCTGACATAACAATCCTGCCTGCTATGACAAACTGCAGTACCCTGGTTGCTGCTGATCTCCGATAGAGCGGAGGAAGAAGAAGAAGAAGAAGATGTAACGATGTATGTTTGTGTGATCATTTTTGTTTATGTATATTCACTTGTATTTCTAAAAGGTAAAATGCTGTCAGATTAAACATTCTGGTATAAAATGTCTAAATCATGAATTGCAGATTAAATGCATAGTGGAATTGTGATTCCAGAAATATGAAAACAGTAAAGATTTTCTGTACATTTGAGGAGAGAACTATAAAAGGTGTTATAGCTAGATAAAATATATCATTAATGTTGGATTTTTTAATATGGAACTGAATGTGTACTCTTGTTAAATGTATTTATTGATTGTACATGTAATATGCAAATGTAGATATACAAACATCCAAATAAATGAAGATAATTTCCATTTCACAATTTTTCAGTAGACAAGTAGGTCTTTGAAAAAATACGTAGGAACTGCTTCTGTTCTTAACTTCTTACTTGTGTTTTTACACAGATTTTATGGCAAGTCCAGGCGCGTACGCAGGGGGGGGGGGGGGGTAACCCACCCCTTGAGTTTTTTTTTTAAGTGTATGTTTTGTGTATGCTTTATGTGAAACCTCCCCCCCCCCCTTTTTAAGGTTTTTTTGTTTTTTTTGTGTTTTTTTGTTATTAAAAAAAAAAATTATGCCAATGGCTGACCTAAAAAAGGTGACCCCCCCCCCCTCCCCAACGGAACAAAATGTCAAATTTTCAAATTCCGAGACCCCCCCAAAAAAAATCCCCGTGACTCAGACGTGACTCAGTTTCGAACCTGCGTCCTCGGCTGAATCCGTTTGTAACTTCCACTGTTAGCTGGATTAGCTGGATTACAACGCCTAGTTGTATATGAATGAAGATTTCTTGGCATGATGTAATGCCTTTTAGCATGACATGGGTGTAGTCATTTTCTTGAAAATGTGACGTACCAGGCGGAGTTGTACATGTATCATGCACCAAGCTTTAATTGTTTACTTTCAATGAGGAAAAATCATAGCCGAGAAGGTAAACAATACAATTGGTAAAAAAATATAAAATAGGGTAGCAATTGTAACTCATTATATTCAAAAATCCTAAAATATAGCGGTTGAAAATTCTATTTCATAATGCGAAACCTTTACCTCAGAACAGCACCAACTTATTTATGCAATTTGCGTTCTGGCAATTGGAGTACAAGAATAATAGCAGGTGAATGGCATACTTCAACACCACAAACATCTTGGAAGGAAGGAAGCATCCATAAATTTGCATACGTTTAGTTGATTAACGACTCCGAATAGTACGTCATGCAATCAAGGAAATGGCGATGCCCATGTATGTCTTGCTGAGAAACTGTACTTTATTCTTGCTTTATGCCTTAATTCTCATACAATATGGTGGGGAATCTTGTAGATTGATGGGCAAGAATGCAATAAAACTCTCAAAACAACTAACGTTATTGTTTGGAGTTAGTTCTCCTTTAAACTATGCAGAAACCAATAAATCAAATCAAATCAAATCAAATCAAATCAAATAGTCTTTATACAGAAATCAGATTATATATACTAAAATCTTAGATGCGGTTGGTAACATATGAGACAAACGAGTTTGGAGTTAATTGCCCAAATATATTAGGTATCCTATTTTATGTTTGCAACACAGGTGTAGTAAATCCAACGAATGTTCGAATTTTACCTGGCTTCAGTATAACCAGGACTGCATTTCCATTAACAACTTGGATCCTCCTTTCCAGGAATTAGACAGCGCTCCTCTGATGGTAAGTGCCCCCCCCCCACCATTTGCACTCACTCATTTGAGGGCACAAAGCCTTGTCAATTGTAATGCGTACCAGAGAGTCTGAGAGGTAAAACTATGTAGACCCCTGCACTGCAACAAGCCAATATAGTTAAGCTAGGCTCAATTGTTTAAAACTTTATTTAATGAAGTTCCACAGTAATGTTTGTGCGCATATTAGCTGCGCAGGGCTAGCTAATCATCCTAGAATATGATAATGTGATACATTATTGTCTGCCTATAGTGATTTCATGGTCATAATAAACATTTAACCTACTTTGAGAGGGAAAGTTTGCCTTTGTTCTTCATATTTAAAACATATTCATACGTGCGTCAATTGTGAAGATAAATATTTTTTTATAGGAAAATGAACAATGCAAAAAGGGAGGTGTGCTTGAAAAATTGCCTCATGAAATTGCAATTGTAATTGTATACACTTGTAAACTTGGTAGCAATGAAATGGGTTGCGTTTATTAACCAGATTTTTGGCTAGAATCAGGTTTCTTAAACGTCTTTCAGGCAAATTTAGAAGGTGATAAACGCAAAGCCTTTTGTATAGGTCTTTAGATATGGGCATATCTAAAGACGCAAAAAGGTGTGTTTTGTATGTGACTTACAGCCAGAATCACGTTTCTGAGAGATGATAAACGCAAAGATGTTTTGAACCCCACATACAAATCGGACCACCCAGGTTAATTTCCGGTTCGGAGGCTAGCGCGCGACATGTGTTGTGTACAAGCATGTGTGTATGTAGTTGACCTCCGAGAAACTGTCTGCTTCCCGGGTCAAAACAGCTGCGCAGACACAAGGCCTTTATTTTGAATCGTGAAGAGACGAATCACTTTCGTATAGTGAGGTTCGATAGTGGGGTATGATAGTGGGGTACGATATGTACATATCTAGTGGCAAGACCCAATAAACGCACCCATGGTTTATGATACATGAACTAATATGTAATCTAAGAAATAGTGGTTGATGAAAGATAATCTTAGAGTCATAAAAACTTAGTGGCTCTTTAGTAGATCAGTGTTCTCATAACGTACCCGGAGATCCTGGGTTCAAAACCAAGTTGATGTGCCTTAGGCATTAAACCTCATTACCAAGTGACCCACAGAGTACTTAGAGCGGTCAATACCCTGGTTGCATACTTACAAGCATACATTCTTAGCAGTCAAATTCAAACAAACGATCAGATCCGCATGGCATGAAATGGAGGATTTTCCAAATCTTCAGTCTTTCTTCCTATTATTATTATTACTGTATGATACTTTGTCCATATTTTCAAATATTTGTATTTTCCAGGTTTCATTCAGTGTATCTCCACTCACATCCCTTCAATCTGACTCCGAATACACCTGTCGGTTTAATGATGTTGTTACCGATACTACTATGAATGGAAGGAACTTTACTTGCATGACACCTGCAGTTGATGTAAGGCCAGTCATACCAGATGGTGAAAGTAAGTGCAATCATTTTTACTCAAATTGTTCTGCAACTCTCGGTATTCGCGATATGCTGTGCCACCTATCAGAGAAAACGGGCAGGCACAAATCCACGATGCTTCATGGGAAACACTCAACATCACGAAGCCTAGCTAATACTGCTAGCAATACATAGTCGCATAGATTCTCGCAACATCTGGATAATTTCCGTTAAAAGGTCCCTCTGCTTTGCCATGTTTTTTAAAAATTTTATCCGTGAAGCATGAGAATGCTTTTTCCACACTTCCCAACTTCAAAAGAATTGGAAAAATGCCTGGATTACTCAGAAACTAGATCTCTATGATTATAAACACCCATGAAAAATCCAGAAGTAATAAGTACACGAGAATGTACCCAAAGAATGATGTGATTGGAAATTCATAGATTTCAGTGATGTTCATATTTTGATCATATTTGTTTTTGTTTCTGTAGATTCTGTTACCATGATGCTTGGTATACATTCTAGTGCAACAGATAATATCATCGTGGTGCAAGATTTTGACTTCTTCATGTGCTCTGCAATAAACAGGTACGACATTGCCATGCCAAGAATGTGTGTTATTATAAGTTCATGTTTTCCATTGCAATGCGATGAAGGAGCTTCTATTGATACAAACAAATCGTGAAAACAGCGACGAATTTTACATCATAATTCACATGTAGTGTACACATTTTTCAGTCTTTAAAGAGTAACCAACCTCTTATTTTTGGTCTCTATTTTTTGTTATACTAAACTATCACATTTCCACAAAGGTTTAATACAGGAATCGCACAGTTCCTGTAGATAATAAATTATAAAAGATTTTATTTTAATTTTTTTTTTGTTTTTCATGATTTTTTTTCTTCATTTAAGATCACCGCGAGTTCGACCATGAGTTCCATAATTTGTTGAAGACTCACTGAATAATGATTATTTTTGTCAATAGCAATTTTTAAATGGTTCATCTTGTCCGTTCTGTTGAGTATGTACTTTGTTCTGCGGTGAAACTACTAACCTTCATGACTTGAAACTTCATGATTTGTCGACAAAGGCAATTTTCATGGTATTTAACTTCCACAAATTCTGTCAATAGGTCATTTTCGTAATGTAACCAAATTTAATGCATAAGTCTTTGAGAAGTGCCTCAATACAAGATGTTTCATTCACCTGATAAGAATAATAGTATGTCAATAGTCAGAATGCAAACTGCATATATTAAGTGTTACTAGGTAGGTCAAGCCATAATGTTTGTCCAACCTGACAACAACTAATGTATGCAGTTCGGATTCTGTCTATTGAAATACTATTATTCTTTTCAGGTGAATGAAATAATATGTATTGAGGCACTTCACAAAGATGTATGCATTCAATTTGGTTACATTACGAAAATGGCCTATTGTGATTCAATTATTTTGCAGCAAGAAACTTTTCTCCGCTTTTTATAAACCCCTATAACTTTGCTTTCACTTGTTTAACGGGCAAGGATAAGTTCTTATTGGTGATATTTGTTTCCTTAATCACAATATGTGAGAAAAACAAATCAAATATGAGATATACTTGAGGCGTGAATCTTCAATCTTATTGATACACCACTGAGGTTAAAGTGCTTATTGAAATATTTTGTCTCATACTAAGTTTGTCGTGGTAGCCTAAATATATGTGGAGATATCGCCGTTTTCGTGATTTTTGGCAAATGAGCAATTTCCATGGAATTGTCTTTTTACTAACCTTTTGTCCCTTCTTAATTCTATTTTTTGTTTACCATTAGTTGTTCAGAATGTGTAGAAAGTGGTTGGGGTTGTGACTGGTGTATCCATGACGGCACATGTACCTTGAATGGGTTAAGTAGCTGTTACCGCTCCTACCGATGGAACCTTTAGCGTAAGTGAAACCCGTATACCGTGTGAGTCAAAAAAAGTTTACACCTAGAAAATTGCTAATTATTTTTAAAATCATCAATGAACAGTAAACTATTATACATCTCATGAAAGAGTGTTTTATCCCAAATCATTTGGTATCATTTTTGTGTGGTAAGTGTTTACCCTTGGATGAACAGGAGGCATTTTTGCGAGAGTGCAACAATCGACTGTTGATCACATGGTCCGCGGTTCGAGTCCCGCTGCGGCAGTAATGTCCTTTGTCAAGACATTGATCTACATTTTTCACATTCGACCCATGTGATGTAAATGGGTACCTGGCAGGAATTAATTCGTTGAAATGAAATTAAATGAAATGCTCGAGCGCCGTAATGGCAGCCATGCTAAAGCCGGGTTATAATTTACAAATTTGTTAGGCGCCTTGAGCATCCCTTGGGATGGATATGTGCGCACTATAATGCTGTTATTATTATTATTACTATATGCTTGTTTATGTTTATAAACACAGAACGCTACGTCATGTCCCCGGTTAGATGTTGCATGGACAGACTGAATCTTGACTGCTATATACCTCAAACGGATTAGCAAGACGGAATAGAACTTTACATTACAGCCAATGGAAAAGAATCGTGGAGTCGTCTTGGAGTCAGTTTTGAGATATTTACTACTGCTATGCTAAACTTTGGAATTCTAGCGAACCCTCTATTGTTTGATTTAAATAACATTCTAAACAACTTGGTGTGTATGCTTGAAACTATCGTCTTCAGCTGTTAACCAATAGAGCATTGAGTTAAAATGGGACTATCAGACTATTGTGCTCCTGGCAGAGGTCACATTAGCAAACCAATCTATTAACACACGGTTAAGCATGGACCTACTACAAATGGACACTAATTGGTACCATAATACATGCATGTACCTGTCTCTGTCAAAAGTATCATAATGACTATCCGAACATGCTTCCAAGCTTTGATCTCATCACGACCGCCGCCAGTCAGCCATAAGAAACCAAAACTTTGCCTTGAAGAATCTACAAAATGCCTGCGCGAAAGAAACTGAATCGCTTAAAACAACGGAAATGCATGTGCAGTTGTGGCGTACATTATAATAATAATAATAATAATATTGATAATATTTAATTTTTATATAGCGCTTAATACAAAATGTCTCTCCGAGCTTAACTACTCTATCTTTTTGAGAATCAAAATGAATAGAATGGTATTATATAGCTCGTCCATTAGGAGTAAATAAAATGATGATCATGATAATAACAATAATAATAATAATAATGATTCTACTACTACTACTACTACTACTACTACTATTACTACTACTACTACTACTACTATTACTACTTCTTCTAATACGGTTCTAGGGCACCTACCCCCTAGACATCCACCCCCCCCCCCCCGGATACCAGTCAACTACCCCGTAGGACAACTACCCCCCAGACAACTACCCCCTAGGGCTACCACCCTCTAGGACGACTACCCCCGGACAACTAACCCCAAACAACTACCCCCTAGGGCAACCACCCTCTAGGACGACTACTCCCAGGACAACTACCCCCGGACAACTACCCCCAGACAACTACCCCCTAGGACAACTACCCCGGACAACTACCCCCAGACAACTATACCCCCTGAAAACTATCCTAGGGCGTAGCGGCCGGCACGATTTCCGGGGGCAAACAAAAGAAAGAAAATAGTGCTCACTTTATAATTAATGGCCTAATACATAGGGAACATCATCAGATCAATAATTTTTTCTTCAACAGGAAAATTTATTAGACATCATGCATTACGAAAGGATTATCTGAAGACTACGATATCACTTCAAAATGAGATTAGGTTGAACACAAGTATGGTATTACAAATTAATGGAAGCAATTTAATTTTCATCTAACAATAATATTGTGCACTCTAATTATGGAACAATGACGAAAGAGGATTATCTACTGGCTCTTATGCTCAGAATGTATCTGGTTCAACTATGCGGATTCAGGAGCAGGGATCTGCATCCTTTCCCCATCCAAATCAAAGCTGGCATTAACTAGAGTTACGGCGTTCTAATTATACATGTTTATTATCTTTTAAGGTTTTTTTAATTGTCAGAGAATTTCTCTACTTCTCCCAGCACTTGACTGTTCGGGGCTTTGTCTGTATGTAATTAAATAAGTCAAAGTTTCTGTACCGTGCAAAATGTAAATTATATAATCATGCAATCCCCGAATTTAAAATTATTTAAATGATTGATAATAAATAATAATAATATAGTGGCTTCTTATAAATCGCTTAGATCTGTCAAGCATGACGCTCAAATTGGCGCTATACATTATACAGTTGAGAATACATGTACAACAGATACAGCTTTTTGAAAACAGAAAGCAGACAAAATCAATGAAATGAAAACAGAAATTTTCTAACATAGAGATATATCTGCATGAGAAATTAAGGTACAAAGGGTAAATTGACATAGGATATAGTATGCAAAATTAAATTGAAGTGACTAAAACTACGGTTTGATTACCTTAGATTAAGCCAGGGATGACCTATGGTACATCACCAATTCTAAGGCATCAGAAGGAATAACTTCTAATCATCAATTAAAGCCTTTGCACCGGCTGCAGCCACGCCTGCCACAGCGGGTGCCACATAACCAACCGATCCGAGTGCTCCAGCAGCTTGGAGCGTAGCGACCACACCCCCATTGGCGATGGCGGCGGTTGACATCATTTCCCGCCACACAAGACCCGGCAGTAATACCAGCCCCTGTATAACAGCAGCAAGCCCGACAGGTCCTGCAACGGCTACCGCCGCGGCTGCTCCAATACCCCACAGGACGTTTTCAAACAGGTCGGCATTTGCGCTATTCCTGAACAGTGACGAGATTAATTCAGAGACAAGAAAGTAAATGCAATTAGAACATGATCAACTTATTGATTACAATGATTCAAATTCAAATTAACTTTTAATGGATTGAAAATCAAAACCTTTCAACTAAGGAAAACAAAATCTAAGGTGCCGTTTTTACATTCTAACTGAAGAGTACATTTTCAGCTTTGATAAGTGCCATTTTTCCCCCTTCTGAAAAGAGGCCCTTCCCCCTATTAATAGAAACAATTAGAAACAAAAACAGAACATCAGATCAAAAAGCAGTACTTTACTTGTAACATAATAATGAAGAAAAGGCAGCTATCACAGGTAAAACAGTGCCTCTACAGACACGTATGGGCACTTCTTATGTAAAAGGGGGCTTATGAAATTTGAAAGGGACACTAAGAAAAGTAAATGTATGATACCAATGATTGTTGTAGTATCTTACTATGACTCTCAATTAAGAACTACTCTTGGAAACAGTGGGTTTGTTAACACTGAAGAAGTTATATTCTGGTTTGTCTCGCGCTGCTTACATCATTCAGCCTTTCTGCTCATTCGAGTCCTCTCCCTTGTTTCGCTTCTAGCCAAGAGGTGGCGCTGCACCTCTTACATCTTTCCCTTCATTTTTCTTTTTCTTTTTTTTTTTTTTTTTTTTTTTTCTTTCAAATGAAAATCATGTAAAAGCAAATCCAAAAATAAAAGTTTAAAATGTTAGACTTGAGGTTTCAAATCCAAATACTGCAAACAATATGCATAAATATCAGATGAGAAAGAGTTGTGACAAAAGGGTTCCAAAAACCGGTTATAGTGATTTGCAAATTGAGCATATAATGAACAAGAATAGTTCAACTGTCCAAGTATGAGAATAATAAGCCTTAAAGGTCAAATGTCCAGGATTTTGGCATAATGAACGAAATGTCCCAGGTCCGTTATACCTCGTTCACAGTCTTGTCCAGCAATTCAGTCTATTGTTCATATTTAAGCTGTAGATCCAAAGTTGTTTTGTTTCTCGAACACCTTCAAACTGAGCTCCTACTTCACAAAATCTTGAAGATAGGTTGGTGGACGAATATTGCGACCATTTCTGGTTTTGTCTTCACTCCTCACTTGTGTTGTAATTTGGGCATCACCACTGCTTGTGGGTGGCTGTATCTGCGTACTTGGTTCAATTATCATCTCATCGTCAGGCTCACGGCGACTCCAGGTTTCAGCCACTTGGCGAAGATGTCTCCTATTTCTACGATAAGTAGCTCCGTCCTCTGTCATCACCACATATGAGTGTGGCTCTGGTGCCGAACGAAGGACCTTTGCTCTTCGCCACTCCTTTTGCCTATTATGTGGTTGGATGCGTACTACGTCACCTGGATTCAATGAGGTCATTTCTTTAGCTGACCGGTTGTAGTGTTGTGCTTGCTGCTCTTTGGTCCTCTTCCTCTGTTCTTTCACCCCGGGGGGCACCTCGCATGTTAGTAGCTTTGAGGTAGTTGGTAGTGTAGTTCGGGTTCTTCTATTCATTAGTCGTTGCACTGGACTGGAAGTAAACCCGGGTGTTGGCGTATTTCTATAGGCCAACAAACTCAGATATGGGTCTGTGTGTCCTTCTTTTGCCTTCTTGAGAAGTGCTTTGGCGGTCTTCACAGCATTTTCCACTTTACCATTTGCCTGAGGATAAAGGGGAGATGTTGTTGTGTGCTTGAATTCCCACGTGGCCCCAAACCTGGCAAATTCGTCAGATGCAAACTGTGGGCCATTATCTGTTATCACTTCCTCTGGAATTCCATGTCGGGCAAATTGGGCTTTCATTTTGTGTATCACAGCAGCTGAAGTTGTAGTTGTCAGAGAGTCTACCTCTATGAAGTTGGAATAGTAGTCTGTTATCACCAGGTAGTTGCGGGAATCAAGGACAAACAGATCTGCCCCTACTTTTGCCCAAGGTCTGTCTGGCACCTCATGCTGCTGTAAAGGCTCCTTCTGCTGCCTGGTACCCATGGCTCTACACACATCACATCTCTGTATGTAATTCTTCACTTCACTGTTCATATTGGGCCAATAGAGGCATTCTCGTGCTCTCTTTAAACAGCTGCTTTCTCCAAGATAAGATGAATGTAGTCGTTCGATCATGCCCTTCCTCATGCTATTTGGTATCAAGACTCTTTCACCTCTGAAGATGAGACCATCCGAGATGCTTAGTTCATCCCTTATGTGAAAGTATGGTCTGACATCTGATGGAAGATCTTGTTGCCTCCTGGGCCATCCATTCATTACTGTTGCACGTAGCTCTTGCATCACCTCATTCTCTGCTGTGCATTGCTTTAGCTTTTCCAACAGTGGTTTTGCAATTGGCAGATGATCCAACAGGTTGACTTGTTCCATCTCTACTCGTCTTCCATCCTCCTCCATTAAAGGTAGATAAGCTCGGCTAAGCGTATCAGCAATGTACATCTTGCTGCCCGGATGATAGATGATATCAGCATCATAAGTTTGCAAACGAAGAATGAGTCTCTGGAGTCTTTTGGGAGCTTGATGCATGTTTTTCTTCGTGATGATCTCCAGTGGTTTGTGATCACTTTGAACAATCACCTTCCTACCGTAGGTGTACTGATGGAATCTTTCTAGTCCAAAGGTAACTGCAAGCAACTCCTTCTCTATTTGGGCATAGCGTGTCTCTGCCTCAGTCAGGGCCCTACTTGTGTAAGCGATTGGCTGACCTGCCTGCATGATTGCAGCTCCTAGGCCTTTTTCAGAGGCGTCTGCTTGCAGAACAAGCTCTGTGTCCTTGTCAAAATACCTCAGTACTGGTTCTGAAGTTACTGCCTTCTTGATTCTCTTGATTGCATTATCATGCACATCCAGCCAGCACCATTCTACATATTTCTTGGTCAGAGACCGTAGTGGTTCGCACATCTCACTCAGGTTTGGAAGGAACTTGCTCAGGTAATTAACGAATCCAAGAAATCGTTGTACTCCAGCAGCATCTGAAGGATTTTGCATGTCTCTCACCGCCTTTATTTTTGCTGGGTCCGGTTTCAATCCTTCTTCAGTGATCAGGTGACCCATGAAGGACACTTCCTTCATTTTGAACTTCAACTTTTGTTTGTTGAGTTTCAGATTTTTCTCCCTGCATCTTTGCATCACAGCTCTCAGCTTGGTGTCATGGTCTATCTCAGCTTCTGTCACTGTTTCACCCTCGCCATACACTAGTATGTCATCTGCTATTGTGCTCACTCCTTGCAGACCTTCCAGTGCTTCATCTAGCCTACGCTGAAACTCCTCTGGTGCTGAGGCAATACCAAAGGGCAGCCTCTTCCATCTGTAGCGGCCGAATGGGGTATTGAATGTTGTCAGGTATGAGCTGTCTTCCTCAAGTTCTACATGCCAGAACCCATTCTTTGCATCAACTACTGAAAACACCTTTGCCTTAGTCAGATCTGGCAGAATATCCTCAATTATCTTCATTGGGTAGTGGTTCCTTCTGACAGCTTTGTTCAGGTCTTGTGGGTCCAGACAAATCCTCAATTTGTTGTTTGCTTTGTTGACACACACAAGACTTGAGACCCATTCGGTTGGTGTATCAACTGGAGCAACAATATCTGCTTCTACCAGCTTCTCCAGTTCAGCTTTCAATCTCTCTTTAACAGCAACTGGTACTCGTCTAGGTGGGTGTACAACAGGTTTCACTGTAGGATCCAGTTCTATCTTGTACTGGCCAGGTAGCTTCCCAACTCCATCATCAAACACATCGGCATACTCAAAACAAAATTGTTCTGCAGAGCTCATCCTTGGTGTGTCATTCACCTCCATGATTTTCTCATGCTGCACCGTGATTAAGCCCATCAGTTGACTGGTCTCACTACCAAGTATGGGTGTCAGCTTCCCATTGTCCACAACGATGAACTCAACATCAAAGGCCTCCTGATTCTTGGGATTTACAACCTTTAAATGACATTTTCCCATTGGTTGCATTGTACTCCAATTGTACATAGACAGCACTCCCTTGGTTGGCTGGAGCTTTAAAGCACCGTGTTAATGGCTGTACAAGGTAGGACGTTGCAGGTTGCCCCGCAATCAATTTGAAACTTCACCAAACGTCCCTGGACCTCCATGTTTGCAAAGATCCGTTTCTTTGGCCGTCCTTGAATACAGTTTACCTCTTCGGGTTCAAGAGTGATCACATGTAGCGTGAATTCTGGATCTTCCTCTAATTCACCTTCCTTGTAAACCCCATGTACGTTAGTCAGCGTAGTCTTACACTGGCTCTTAAAGTGGTTCATCTTTCCACATCGTGTACATTGTTTGCCAAAAGCAGGACATTTCTCCTTTATGAATTCATGGTCTAGTCCACAGAACCGGCATTTGCGTGGTTTCCTTGCTCCAAGCATCTGCTTCTGCGACTGCCTTTGATCATTTACTAGATGTCTCTCTGACTGCATGCACTGTATCTCGATCTAATACACCCATCCTACTTTTGGTCAGTTCTGATGCACGGCATATCTGGATACAGCTTTCTAGAGATAACTCTGTTTCCCTCAACAGTCTCTCTCGCAAAGTTGACTCTTTAATTCCACATACGATGCGGTCTCGAAGCAAACCATCTGCCAGGGTAGAGAAATTGCAGTTAGCAGCAAGCAGTTTCAGTGCTGTCAAATATGTATCCGGCTTGCTGATCCCTTGTAAAGAACTTGAAACGATCAACTGTTTCATTACGAGGAGGATTACAATGGCGGTCAAATGCTTTAACAACCTCATCTAATGTTTCAGTTTCTGGCTTGATTGTTTGATACAGCTCTCTGCCTGTACTGCCAACAAGGTATAACAACATCTTTACCTTGGTTTGATCTTCCTTGCTAGCCATGGCTAGGTCTAGATACAACATCAGTTCCTCCTTCCAGAGCTTCCATACCTGCGGGAGGTTTTGCGCCTCCAAATCTAGCTGTTGAGGAGGCTTTAGTGCTTCCATAGTTGCACTAGTTTCACCTTTCTGTTTCACTTATCAATCAGAGAAACTATGCCTAATGTCAATGGTAATGGAGACTGTCACTTTTGTTTTCTTTCTCTCTTTTAACTTGTAAGACTTCACCTTCCACTATGTTGCTATGTATATCTCCTTCTCTCATTCATGTCTTATGTAGACATCTCTCGACAGATTGTGGTAAGGCTTAGTTAGACTTAGAGCACTCGGTGACTAGGTATAGCTCTACGTACTCACGTTCATATCATTAATGTCACTCTGCCCGGTCCCACATCTACAGTTGCAGTTCCGCGTAGTGCTCTTCAAATCTAGTAGATTATTAAACAAATAACTGCTTCAAACGTCGCCACTTCTGACACCATGTTGTAGTATCTTACTATGACTCTCAATTAAGAACTACTCTTGGAAACAGTGGGTTTGTTAACACTGAAGAAGTTATATTCTGGTTTGTCTCGCGCTGCTTACATCATTCAGCCTTTCTGCTCATTCGAGTCCTCTCCCTTGTTTCGCTTCTAGCCAAGAGGTGGCGCTGCACCTCTTACAATGATGATGATGATTAATTATGATAATGTTGATTATTATGATAATGACGATGATCATTATAATGACGATGGTTGCTATTATAATGATGATGAGGATGCTATAGGGGTAACGTTAAGTGACAGAAGCAGCAAGGAAATACGAAAAGAGCTGAAGGTATAATTAACATCCTGTTGGAGAGGTTACGGAGATGGGATTGAGATGGATTGGACACTAATTTTGATGAGGGAAAACCAGCAAAGGACATTTAGCAGTGGAAGGAATTAGCAGAGGCAGAGGAAGGAACTCGTTGGATGGATATTAAAAGAGATATGAGGGAACTAAATCTGCTAGCCGCTCAACAGGGAACAGAGGAGAGTTGAGACGGAGGATTTGGGCAACCATGCACCCCTGCTAACAGTCCAGATTCTGTCCGTTTTTTATATATTTTATATTCTTCAACATCTATGTCCTCCTCCTCCCTTACATGCATCCCACACAGATCGCGCGATCCCCGAAAACACAATCGTCGAGGGGTAGAAAGGCAAGGACCATATCTGGTTTAGCGTAGAGGGCGTGTTATTCTTTCAGCTGATTGGGCGCCTGACACGGAAACAGTCCATGCAGGGAGTGGACTACCCTAGCTATTATAGTTCAGTATTAGTAGTAGTAGTAGCGGTAGAAGTAGTAGTAACATCAGTAGTAGTAGTAGTAGAAGTAGAAGTAATAGTAGAAGTAGTAGTATAGTATATCAGTAGTATAAGTAGTAGTAGTAGTAGTAGTGGTAGTAGTAGCAGTAGTAGTAGTAATAGTAGTGGTGGTAGTAGTAGCAGCAACAGTAGTTTTATATACTTACAAGATAAGAAAGACGAGAAACAGAGCAGCTAACTTCTTCATGATTATTGAGATGATGATCGCTTTCCAATGAAACTGATAAATGGTAAAAGAGAGATTAAAACGCGAATGAAAAAAAAATGCGGGGAGAGTATTCAATGACGACGATGATAAAGATGGTTGTGGAGATAATGGTGATGGTGATAATGATGGTAGTGGTGGTGATGATGATGGTGATGGTTTGTTTGATTTTATTTCTGCATTTTTTCCAACATAATAGAAATAAGTATACAAACTAGGTACATAATTAATAACAAAAGTTATATATTATATATATATTAGTGCCATTTTATGAGGCATTAATCCCCATTACTGTCAGTTCTGACTTAAGAACGTAGGTCCCCCTACTTGATTATTACCCGTATCAGACATCTGAGCTGGTCATTTACAAAAACGTATTGCCCTAGTTTTCACTAGCAGTGGGAACGATATAGTATTAATGACTGCTTTGAGAGAAATAGTTGTTTTATTACGCTCAAGGGAAGGTTAGAATTGGGCTATTCCCCGAGGCTTGCCGAGGGGAATAGCCCAATTCTAACCTTCCCGAGAGCGTATGAAAACAACTATTTCTTGAATATTAAAGCAGTCATTAATACTTTTATATGCCGAAAAAAAATAGACTAAAAAATGAAAAATTAAAAATATTTATCATTGTTGTCGAAGACGGGATTCGAACTCTTGCGTACAACAAGAGGTGTACCGAAAACCAACGCTTAGACCACTCGGCTATGGCCCGCCATTAACATGCTTGGCAGTTTTCTCCAATATATACATTAAAATGGATTGAAACCGGCTTCGCGTATGATGAATGCTTCGCAAAAGCTCCATATACGGACTCTTCTTTTACTTTTGCAATGCATATTGGCACGAACTTAGATCAAGATCTATCGGCAGATGTTGTTTTTAATACTAGCAGTCATTAATACTTTTATATGCCGAAAAAAATAGACTAAAAAATGAAAAATTAAAAATATTTATCAGTTTTGTCGAAGACGGGATTCGAACTCTTGCGTACAACAAGAGGTGTACCGAAAACCAACGCTTAGACCACTCGGCTATAGCCCGCCTTTAACATGCTTAGCAGTTTTCTCCAATATATACATTAAAATGGATTGAAACCGGCTTCGCGTGTGATGAATGCTTCGCAAAAGCTCCATATACGGACTCTTCTTTTACTTTTGCAATGCATATTGGCACGAACTTAGATCAAGATCTATCGGCAGATGTTTTTTTTTTGTTTTTGGAAGTTTATTTTCGTCTTCATGTCAACAATGCAAGATAAATATTGTCGGTAAGATCGATCGAGATTCAATTGTATTGAAATTACCGACCAATCCTTCGCACACATACGGCATCCTCCATCGCTCAAACCATTTTTTAACATGTAAACCTATGGGGTAACCATGGAGGCTGACCAACTTTTTTTAATAACCATGGTTATTAAAAATATTGAAATGTTTTATGCATGGTTACCGAGAATTTTACAGGAACAGTTGAAGTTTATGAATGCAATTCGACCAATCAGATGGCTGGATTTCTTAAGTGAGGTATATAAAGGGGTATATTCTTTGTATTTTCCTTGGTCTCCCTGCTCGTATAGACTTTGCGTGTAGAGACGAGTGAAAATATAATACCTTTGTATTTTCCACGGTCTCGCATCCGGGCATCTTGTATTTTGTCATTTTCATTGCGCATCTATTATGCGTACGAGAACCTGCGCACTTTGCGCGCACTCGTTTGTGATGTAATAATCACACCAAATGCACACTGTTTTCAGTGTATCGAAAATTTCGTCAAGCACTGGATGCACACTGCTGGTTTGACAAAGTTTGTTCAGTTCTTTGAGATTGTCATGGTGGATTTCTGTATTTGCTCTAGATGTCTGATTTGGATAACAATAAAAATATTGACTGGCTTTAGTTTACTTTCGGGGGATATCAGAAATATTTACCGCGCTAAGACCATATTGCCCTCGTCTTTCGACTCGGGGCAATATGATCTGAGCTTGGTCAATATTTCTGATATACCCCTCAAGGCCAGTCAATATTATATAATTATAGCATATTAGCACACACATGCTTTAGCAGTCATGCAAGACAAACACTCCCCAATTGTCATTCAATAAAATCTGATAATGTATACTATTATCTAGATGATGGATCTATTAGGAATAAATCATTGTCTAATCATTCCATAAATTGGGGTAAAAATAATTATTCCACCATTATGACCAACAGTGTACTATCCATGACGGAAATGTAAAATCCTACTCAATGGGAGATACAAATAACGCACGTACAAATAAAATCGTTGCTCGACATGGAATGAAGTCAAGCGATCATAATTATGATTAAAGACAAACTTGAGTTCTGGTAATGTGATCGCATTGTGAAAGAAAAGGTGTGGAATGGATCAGAAAAGTTGATCATATAGCATGTAAGTAATGGTGTGTAATGCAAGGTTCTGGAGTCTTCAAAATCATCATAAATTTGGTAGAGTCTTGGTAAAGTAACACTCACTTACATAGAAAGATGTATATGGGACAACACACATGGTGTCGGGGCTAGAACTACCCTGATTTCCTTATCTTTCTATGCTCATTACTCAGCCAGTATACATTTTCTTCCAAAATTGTTTGGCACATGACATTTATTTGTAATCTTGAACATTCAGTGTAAGTTTCGTTAGATTCTGTTAGAATTCATTTTCTTTCTTTTTTTTACCAGAACTCATGCAAGTTTATCTTTAACCTGCAAATATTCAAATAGGCCTAGAGTGAACCTAATTGAAACGTATCAATTAACATGACAAGAGCATATCAGTGAAACAGTGAAATATAAGAGAAATAATATCAATAATAATAGTATCAATACACAATCACTCACTAATTACAAAACTGGATCCGCTCCTTGTTCAGTGTATACAATATGTGGCAGTGAATATAGGCAGTGAGAGTGATTTAATGTACCAGAGTTTGAAGTGACGTGTCAGTTGGGATTCCCCGCTACTGGGATTCCCCGCTAAACAGCGTTCTGTGAAAAACACTCCGTTCAACATGCGAGTACATAATGTACTAGGTAGTACATATCAAGGATTCTTAAATTTTTCCTTGAGGCTCTAAATGTGATTTCCACGATAGCTAAAAGGTCCGAAACAATTGGCAGATTTCGTTTTATTAATCCAGAGGAGGCGCTCCCGGGGGGGGGGGGAGGGCACAGTGCCCCCAATTCTTTAGGTAATCCGTGAAAATGCCACTTTTTACATAGGACATTTAATATTTCAGTCCCCTTCATTTGCTAATAAATGCCCCTATTAAAGTCTGTTAAGTGCCCATTTTTCTTCTACAACTGCCCCATTTCCTTTGCAATAAGTGTCCCGTTTCCATTCTCATAAGTGCCCCTTTTCGTCTCTGGTAAGTGCCCCCTTTCCCTCTGATAATTGCCCCTATTCAAATCTGGCAGGTACGCGTTTTACTTTGACAAGTGCCTCTTTTTCTTTGTAATAACTGCCCTTTTCCCCTTGTTAAAAGTGCTTCTTTTATTCTTTGACGAGTGTGCTGTTCAACTTTGATAAGTACCCCCTTTTTATTTTGACACATGCCCTTTTCCCTTTCTAAAAGGTGCCATTTTTCCTTTCTTCTGATAAGTGCCCCTTTTCCTTCTCATAAATGCCCTTTTCCCACCTCAAATAATTGCCACTATCAAAATTTGACAGGTACTTTTTTCCTTTACAATAAGCTATTTTCCATTTTCATAAGTGCCCCTTGTCATCTTTGATATGTTTGCCCCCTTTTACTTGACGTGTCCCTTTTCCTTTTTAATAAGTACACTTTTTACTTGTGATAAGTGCCCTTTTCCTTTTGTAATAAGAACTTCTTCCCTCTCTCTCAAATGCCACTTTGTTCACCTATGATAAGTATCCTTTTTATTTTGACACGTGACCCTTTTCCTTTCTAATAAGTACCATATTTCCTTCGGATAAGGGCTCCTTTTTCATCTCTGTTGAGTTTACCTTTTCAGTTGCAAGAAGTGCCCCATTTTCACCTCTGATAACTGCCCTTTAAACTTTGACACGTGCACCTTTACTTTTCTGGTAACCTATTCCCTTCTAATAACTGCCTACTTTTCCATTCTCCATAACATGCACCCCCTTATTCAAAACAACTAGAACCCCTTTTTAAAATAAATTTTCCCAAGAGCTCGCTCGCAATAATAATTGTTATAATTATGTTACTTATATTTTTTTTCCAGTCTTTCTTCATTGGATTGTGCTTAAAACTCAGGGTTTGTTTTGGTCCTCTTTATAAGATGTAATTTTCTCGCAGTGAGACGTCGTTTGCGAGAAAAATTAATATTCAAACCATCACACCCAACTACAGAGCAGTATCTTGTCCCGTGTAAACTGAGTCACAAAATAATATTAATGATTTTCCTGGTGGTGTAATCAAAATTATGACAACATAAAGGTTTTACGGGCCGAATTTTCCCTACTCAAGTTTGTAGGTGGTATATTTCCACCCGGCGTCGACGGAATTATAATAGCCTTTTCGCAACAAAAAAAATTGTGTGTGGTGTATAATAGGCCTAACTTTCAATGATACGTTTTTGTCATACTAAAAAGGCCCCTACTTATATGATTTTTGGTGTGCCTCCAAGGCATTCTCTGGCTAATAAGTATAATTAAAAGTTAAGTTTTGTGCGATTTGAGGAGAGTGGGGCAGTAAAAGCACCCCCCCCCCCATCTCACCCCTAGATCCAACCATTTATCATCATCATCAACAAATGATCATCATTTAACATCATTCATAAATTATCATCATCTTCTTCTTCTTCTTCTCCTACTCCTTCTTCTTCTTATATTCTTCTTCTTCATTTTATTCTCCTCCTTCTTCTTCTTCTACTTCTTCTTCGATCTCCTTCTTCTCGTTCTTCTTCTTCTTCTTCTTCTTCTTCTTCTTCTTCTTCTTCTTCTCCCTTCTTCCTTTTTATGTACCTTAGTTATAATTATTCTCCCAGGTATATATTTTTCATGCTTCATGATGAACATCTTTTTCTTCTTCTCCTCTTTCTCATGAAATCTTCTTAAGTTAAAAAATAAAAAAAGTTGCTTGTTCTTGTGCTTCGTTTGGCATTCTTTCTTCCTCTATGTAGTCCCCTTCTTCTTTATACTTGTTTAATGTAAAATATACTGGTATATCATATATGGTGAACGTTTATGACTACCATATATAGATGTGCTACGTATAGTACGCCTAGCTACGCTACGCATTATTTTATTTCGAGATTTTTCGAGAGCTGAGTTCAGACGTACGTGAGTTCAGTTGATGATGAGCGTGCGAGATTAAATAGGCCCGACCCGACCCTACGACTATCTTGACCAAAGTTTCTGACCCTGTCGCAAGTCCAGCTCTATAAGTATCCAAGATGAGGTTCATGCTCACATTTTTAAGGCAGTAAGTTTTATTATTTATTATGGTTTACTTTTAAAGTTTAATGGAGTCATATAGACTACTGAAATCGCCGCATTGGCGAAAGTTTAACCTTTGTTTACTTAGTCCCAGGAACTGGAAATTTTGTTGGCTGGTACTAGCTGTCGCCGTACTCGTCGGTATTAAAGGTATTTGTCAATTGCTGTGTGATGATGTGATCATTGATTAAGATGATGCATTCAATTTCAAGTAGTAATAGTATGCACAACTTACAAGCGGCACCAATCAGCCAGTAGGATATGATGAGGAGGGGCCATTTAGACTAGACCCTATGCACATTAAAATTTAGCTTGCTTGCTGTTGCTTGTTGGATTTTATGAAAAATCATTGTCATGATTGTGAAATATTATTTACTGGAAGTGGTACTGGTAGTAGTACTAGTAGACCAAATTTTTTGTCTCTTTCGTCCGTTAGCCGCTGATTTGGGTAGAGTCGGTTCCTCTCTTTAGAGACAGAAAGCTGACTTATTTTTGATCTGTTATTATTGTATATTGTTGTATGTTGGAAACTTGTCGAATAAAAATCAATCAATCAATCAATCAATCAACCAACCAATAAAAATAAGAAAACAATGTGACTTTTTAGTGTAAACATTATGTATGTATGCATAGAAAATAAAATGTATGGTCATTACTCTATTTCATTAATCCATTACATGTGATTTTATTTTGGTAAAACACACATTTTCCAGTCTCCAGTCTGAATTTTAAGGCTCAGTTTTCCCTGGATGAATACAATTTTTTTTCAAAGATAAATATGTATCAAGGGAGTACTTCTATGAATAGTTTTGCTTAAGAGAAAATCTGTTATTCATGTTACTGTGACTTTTAGTTTTTTTCCATGTACTATGAAATAGCAAAGAATAAATCACCAAGACCTTTCTTGTCGACATATACTGTCACATTGAACACAACTATCTACTTAAAATATAATAGAGTGGAGAAGAATAAGAAGGAAAAAAAAGAATATTATGCAGATATTGGTTATAGGTCTCCATCGTCGTACCAGTATTAATATTACTCTTCCATTTACCACTAAAATATCAAACTTCATTAAACTGTACATTCATCACTAAAGAGTCTTTGTTGTAGAGTTGTCACTATGAACATGACGGACAAAGAAAGCGGACAAAATATACAGTTCCTCATTCTACCCTCAACAATAAATTGTTATTGCTATAACAGGTGTCACATGCATATTTACCTGTTCTACACATTTTTACATACTAGCAGTGAAGGGATGTTCCTTTGTCTACCATAGCAATTGTTGAGGGTAGAATGAGGAACTGTATATTTTGTCCGCTTTCTTTGTCCGTTATACTCATAGTGTGTAGAGGTGTCGTGGTCGAGTGGATACGTCAACGGACTGTTAGTCACATGGTCCGCGGATCGAGTCCCGCCGCGGCAGTAATGTCCTTTGATAAGACATTGATCTACATTTTGTCACACTCGACCCAGGTGAGGTAAATGGGTTATAATTTCCAAATTTGTTAGGCGCCTTAAGCATCCCTTGGGATGGATATTATGTGCGCACTATAAATGTGGCTATTATTATTATTACTATATGATTGTTTATGTTTATAAACACAGAACGCTACGTCATGTCCCCGGCTAGATGTTGTATGGACAGACTGAATCTTGACTGCTGTATACCTCAAACGGATTAGCAAGACCGAATAGAACTTTACATTACAGCCAATGGAAAAGAATCGTGGAGTCGGCTTGGAGTCAGTTTTGATATATAAGCTATTGCTATATGCTAAACTTTGGAATTCTAGCAAACCCTCTATTGTTTGATTTAAATAACATTCTTTACAACTTGGTGTGTTTGCCTGAAACTATCGTCTTCAGCTGTTAACCAATATAGCATTGAGTTAAAATGGGACTATCAGACTATTATGCTCCTGGTAGAGGTCACATAGCAAACTAATCTATTAACACACGGTTAAGCATGGACCTTACTACAAATGGACACTGATCGGTACCATAATACATGCATGGACCCTTCAGTTAGAATGTAAAAACGGCACCTTAGATTTCGTTTTCCTTTGTTGAACCATGGACCTATTACAAATGGACACTGATCGGTACCATAATATATCCATGCACCTCACTCTGTCAAAAGTATCATAATGACAATCCGACATGCTTCCAAGCTTTGATCTCATCACGACCGCCGCCAGTCAGCCATAAGAAACCAAAACTTTGCCTTGAAGAATCTACAAAATGCCTGCGCGAAAGAAACTGAATCGCTTAAAACCACGGAAATGCATGTGCAGTTGTGGCGTACATATGACTATTGACGAATATGAAGTTTTCAATAGGAAATTAAAAGTACTTTACAAGAGAAATCTGTAAATTTGGCTGTAACAAACTGATTTTAAACTTCATTTTAAAACTTATCCTATCCTTTTCCAAGGAATAGAAGGTAATAGGTCAGTAAAGAATTTGTATTTTCAAAGTTTGGCACGTTCAAATGTATGTCCATCAGTGTCCACTGCTCCTCTAACTGGTCTTAAATCACGATACTTTTCCTGAAACTACACTCTGGGCCCTGGCCCAGCTAAAATAATCTGAAGAAATATAAAAGGTCCTTTTGTGATGATGCGTGATTACACAATCAACATTATTAAAAAAATAATTTAAAAAAACAATCAACATTGTTCCGTCAAATGAATGTCCTCATCACCATACACATTATCAGGTGGCTGTGGTCATGATGTGATCAAAGAAAGACTCTCATTATTAGTCCATCTGTAGTAGACAGGGTCTATGGTATAGGCTACATTCAAATGACCCTCAAATAATATCAAGCAAATCTTTAAAACACGGGGAGGTGTTATTTTGATCATTTAACAATATTCAAAGTGATGGAGATACTTCGTAAACAGCGTACGAGTGTGTGTGCGTGTGGGTTTTAATTTACAGACGTGTATCAATCAGACCAAGGAGTTTTAAGAGATGGAGTTATATCTAGCTCATTCCCTTTGTACCATCTCCGATGCCGCCAGGAGAAAATATGTCAGGCATGTGCTTGACTGGATCTTCCTTGCAAATCGATACGTAGACAAAAGATTCCTGCCTAGCTGCAAACTAGAGGGCCACTTTTAAAGGGAAATAGGCTTTTGTAATAAATAATTACTTTTCGCTACCACTCGTCTGATAATACGAGCAGTACACTATGCTTACCTTCACAAGAGGCAAGCGGAAGGAAATGGAGCAACATTTCCTGAAATATTAATCAAAATTACTCGACTGGGCATGTGTGGAAACTAATCTGATATATAACATCATGAAGAACATTACTGTATTTGAACAAAGTCGTGAGCCGGAAGTAATCGGAAAAGTGTCAAATTGCAGGTTTTAAGGATTGTAAAACTTTCCTATTGTGTACAGTCATACCTCGACTATAACATCTTGGTGGAAAAGGTTGGTATACAATAATAAATTGACAATGTGGGTAAAGATGACTCAATTATTATACCCCCCTCCCCCCTTGAACAAATGCGATAAGTTCGCGACCGAGATGCTGAACAAAATATTCACTGTAAGCCTCGTTAGCATAATATTATTATGCGCTGCGGTCAGCTGCAGTTTGACTGAGAAATGAATTTCTAAGTGTACATAAAAATGGGATAGGAAATATGACGATGATGATGATGATGGTGGTAGTAAAAGTAATAGTATAGGGTCCATGGTAATTTTAATTGTAGTGGTAGTGGTATTTGGATTTTATGGTAATGGTAGTGATAGCTAGTGATAATGGTAATGGTAGTAGTAGTGGTAATGGTAAAGGTAGTTACAATACATGGTAATAGAAAATATGACGATATGACGATGATGATGATGATGATGGTCGTGGTAGTAAAAGTAATAGTATAGGGTCCATGGTAATTTTAATTGTAGTGGTAGTGGTATTTGGATTTTATGGTAATGGTAGTGATAGCTAGTGATAATGGTAATGGTATTAGTAGTGGTAATGGTAAAGGTAGTGACAGTGCATGGTAATATGTGGTAATGGTAATGATAGTGGTAGTTGCAGTGGTAGTGGTAATGGTAATGATAGTGGTAGTGGTAGTTTCAGTTGCAGTGGTAATGGTAATGATATTGGTAATGTATGGTAGTATAATGGTAATATTAATGGTAGTGGTAATGGTAATAAAAGTGGTAGGGGTAAAGGTAATTGTAGTGGTCATGCTCTTTTGAAATAATCGTGGATGTAATCATGATCTTAATTAGGCACAACTGATAAAAAGGGTCAATTTTATTTCAGCGGGGTCACTCTTTTGGTTTCAGAATAAATACACCAGCCTGAACAATAATTATGTGTCAACATTTTGCATGCCCCGTGGACTTATGGATGTAATCATGATCGAACTATAATATTGAACATTTATATAATGCGCCATGTCTGTCAAAATTGACACTCCTGTCGCAGTTGTGTGAAAATTGTATAATTGTAGGCATACGACTATAAAGTAATTCAAGAGAGAAAGTAAACACACATAATTTTAGGACATAATTTTGCAATAACCATGACAATATCCTTTTCAGCCTAAAAGCAAGGTTACATACGCTTAACCCTAATAAGGCCGTGGGCATTATGCCCCCCCCCCCCCCTCCACGATGTCTCCGATTGTTCGGTACGCATATGGATGGCGCCCCGCCAGTCGCTGACATTTTTCTTTCGAGTCTTGCGCACCTTTTGTCTTCGCATGTCAGCCCGAAAATCGCTAATTGTTGTGCTTTGTGTACAAAACATATGCAAATGTCATTTTTCTTTAAAAAATATCAAACATTGGTTATTGGGTCTTGTTTAAAGTTTAGGTGGTTGTTTTGGGGTCAAAATAGTTGAATTGTAGTAAGAAATGAAATAAAATTTAAAAAAATTTAAAAAATACGTAAGTTAAAAAACAATGAAATACATAAGAAATTATCACATGATTGGGTATTCCAAATGGTCAA